TCATCTCAGGCATGCTCCTCACCACCCTGGGCTATGGCCTATTTATCGACCTCCCCTCCACCAAGTCCTGGCCGCGGATTATCCTTTTCCAGATCGTCGCCGGACTCGGCATCGGGCCTAACTTCCAGGCTACCCTGATTGCCCTGCAAGCCAACACCACCCCCGCCGAATTAAGTCGCGGCACCGGAACCTTTTCGTTCGTGCGCCAGCTGGCCGCTGCTATCTCTGTCGTCGTCGGGTCTGTGCTGTACGCGCGCGCTGTAAGCGGGCAACGGGGCGCTCTGGCTGCCGTACTGGGCGAGACGGTCGCGCAGGAGATCGTGGAGGCGTCGACAGCTGCAGCGGCGATTGTGGAGACATTGCCTGTCGGCGAGGATCGGACGGTGGTGTTTCATGCGTTGACGGCTGCGTTGCGCTGGGTGTGGGTGTTTTATACTGCTGTCGCGGGGGTCGGATTCCTTCTCAGTCTGTGTTTGCGTGATTTACGGTTGGGCGATGCGCACCGAATGGCTCCTGGTCAGGAGAGTGAGGAATTAGAGATGGAGAGGGGGACTACATAGGGTGCACTTTACTTATAAGCTTGACTCATATGGCTACAATATAACTATGCCGTAACATTGACATTAATTCACCGGGTGTACTAGATACGGATTGTAGACCGGGCACGTAAGATAATTATATAGACCAGGTGAGTTTAAATTACATGCACTTTTGCGTATGTGTCATTCTTGCCATATCCTCCAAACTATAACCAGCGTAATCCAGAACTAACGAAGACGATGATTTACATAACCACAACACATAGGAAAAATGATTGTTACATTACTTCGTAGAAGGATTCGGCATCCCCGAAGTATGCGGCCATTTGCGAAACAAATCAGCCAAATGATCAATCGGAGCAGTCATCAAACCGATAGCAGTCTCAAAAGGCGGCTTATCAGGCGCACTAGGATGGGACCGCGAGGGCACAAACATCTTCGTCCTACCAAAAGACTTCGAAAGCTTCTCGCTTTCCTCCGCCGACACGGCGTCTTCCAGCTTCGGCAGATCTTGACTCTCTTCTTCCTTGATGTGCTCGGAGAGGTCCTTCATCAACGCCCTGATAGTAGACTCGAACTCCGGGTCCGCGGGTTTCATGTTTTGGAATTTTTTCAGCTGTTCTTTAACCTACATGTTGCTTTAGTAACGGATTGGTAATGAAAGCATGATAGATGACTTACCGATTGATGCTCCTTCCGGTCCTTATCTGCCATGGCCCGGCCGTCGGGGATGGACTTCTCGAACTGGGGGTAGACGACCAGCTCCTCGGCGATCGAATGACGGGCTAATTCCCAAGTAAATTGGTTTTGCCATTCGATTTTCTCTTTCTCGGTAGCAGAGTTCAGGATCTTGTTGTAGTAGTCCTCGATCTCGCGGTGATCGGTCTTGATCGCTTCGGATATACGAGGTGCCATGATGATAGGGGATTGGGATATGGAGCGGTGTTGTTTTGGGATAGATAGTAGAGGCCTAAGGATAGGGCGGGAAGAGTTGAGAATATAGCGGCTAGTCATTGTTAAAGAATTAAGGCGCACCAGTTGCACTGCGTAAATATATTAGTGGCTCTCTGGCCCTTCTTTAACTTGTGTGTGGCTAGACGTCATTATGAGATACGGTGTAACATGTCCCTTGCTATCCATACTGGATACGATTGTGGTTCGTTTTTAAGGTTTGGGCGGCATCATCATCACGACAGCCGGGGTTGCCGAAGTATGACCAGCACTTTTACTAATAAGCCACACGGGAAGCAAAGGCAAGTAAGACCTGTTTCTGACGAATTAACATGTCTGGATTATTAAGTAGGAACTGACCATAACTGGATAAAGTATGTGAGAGAGAACAAAGAGAAAGATAGAAGTCACCGCAAGATTGGTTGAAGAACGAACCAAATTTAAGGATATTAATTGTTACCCCGCTTGCTCCCGGACGGTATTAGTATATACATCTATGCAGTAGATCAAGGCTATTTTTAAGTTCTTTTTACGTCCTACTAAATCTGTAGGTACGACTGACTCTTCCAATGCCGGAAAGAGGTCTTATCCGGATTCGGTCTGCCTTTCCGATGACGCGAAAACTCGCGTCGCCATCTTCTCGATGGGCTGCGTATTACTATTCTAAGTATTCAATCAGAATATGCATTAACTCACAGCGCGATCCCGAAGTTCCCGTGTTCACGAGTCTGTTATAGAACTGGGGGGAGAATGCATGATTGTCGCGGGTTGTACGCCGAACACATTAGGGCGCTCGATCAGGATCGAGGTAAATATCAATGTCTCCATGCAAAAGCAACAAGTCTTCCGAAAGCAACTTGGAAACATCATACAGAATGCTCACAACAGTCTCGGCATTTCAATCCCATCCAGGCATTGTCAACCCAGACTCCCCAGTAATCACACAACTTCAACATAAAGACCAAGAAATTTGCACTTGGAAGCATGGCGTTCGGTTCTTGGCCTCGTGCCGAGCTCAACGCATACAAAATCACAAGATTATAGTTTGCAGAGATCCGGTTGAAGCTCCTTTCATAAGACGCGAGTCAGGAGAGTTTCGGCATCTCTCTCAAAACAGCCCCACCATCTCCTATTATGGAAGAAACTCCGTTGCATTTGGGTCCACTTTGCTTTTGGATCGAGTCAATCAGTGAATGGGGAACTGTTGATCGGATCTTTTGAAATGCGAGCGATTTGATTAGAAGGGGTGTATAGTTCTAGCCCATGTAAAACTTTGGGGGGAAAGATGGTTATAGAGATGTGAAACAAGGGAAAGCACTATCGAAACAGAGAAACTTAAAATATCAATCTTCAGCCACTGCATCAGTCCTAGGGTTATAACAAGCGATATCGAACCAGAAAGCTCTATGGGCTTCAACGTATAGCCAAGGAAGATGTTACCACAAAAATGGCATTGTTGGCAAATCCAGCAGAAGGCCCTCCAGCTGACTCTTCTAGCGCAAACCTTCGAAATATTCACAGAAATATCACTTGCATGGACTTCGGTGTTATAAATCGAACCTCTACACTCCATAGACCCAGCCAGACTTACTGTTTCATCGCCGACGCCCAGTCCAAGAGCACACGAGTCGCGGCTGCTGCCGCCGATATGCACCGTTACGACTTAGAGTTCCCCCAGCAGATAGGCTTTTAATTTTCTGCTGATCCGATCCTTTATTTTCCTTTCTTGATTCGCCCTTTTGGTCGTACAAAGGTGCATAAGGGCGTTCTCCCCCTGCTCCAGTACGTGATTTTTGAATCGGTTGACCAAACGAGTTCCCCGCTTTCTGCTGGTCAGAATGGAGTATACCCTGCCTTTAGTTGGCCACAGCCTGGCGATTTTCATCGTCTCGGCTGTGACAGTTGGGTTAGCAATCATTTGTGTCTCGCTGCGGTGCTTTGTGCGTCTGTACATTCTGCGTGCGTTTGGGTGGGATGACGCGCTTGTGGTGACGGCGCTGGTAAGTATTCTTTCCATCTGTCCTTGATGGACACTTGATATTAAAGACTGACTGATTGTAATAGGCGCTATTTATAGCATTGGGCGTGCTGTGCATGATGGGACCGGAAGCTGGGATTGGTCACACACTCGCGGACTTCGAGTCGTTCAGTCTGAAGAGTGGGAATCCCATGGATAGTCTGCACGCATTGCAGTATGCGATGATAGTGCGTTTCACCAATATCCTTGCTGCTCTTTGTCATCTTCCTCTGACTTCTATCAGTACTGGTGGCTTGGACAAATGCTCTACCTGTGGGCGTCAGCCGTCGCCAAAGTAGCCATTGCCCTTGCTCTCCTTCGACTGGCCGTTCGCCCACTGCACCGCTTCATTCTCTGGGCCGTCATAGGAACCGTGATATGTATTGGCCTCGTCTTCTGGCTTATTCTGTTGCTCGATTGTCGGCCAATCGGGTACTTTTGGGGCCAGATCAACCCACTCAATTCGGGCACGTGCTTGCCAACTAATATCCTCCTCATCATCGCATACATCTATAGTTCGCTTTCCATTGTCTGTGACTTTACGCTTGGGATCTTCCCAGCGGCGTTGATCTGGGGGCTGCACATGTCGCCGCGCACAAAGGTGGCGTTGGGCGCGATCCTCGGGCTGGGAGCAGTGTATGTGAATTTCCACACACCTAAATGGGGACAAGCTAACCAGGGCAACAGTGCGAGCGTGGCTGTAGTTATTCGACTCCCGTACCTGAAGCACTACGCCGACGCGGACTTCCTCTGTAAGCTTCTCCACGACTCCATCACAAGCAGGATTGGCTGACAATGCAGACTCGACTTACCAAATCGCCATCTGGTCCGTCATGGAAACCGGCCTCGCCATCATCGCCGGCAGCCTCATTACGCTCCGCCCGCTCTTCCGCTGGTTCCTCGATGGCAGTTCGTCATACCGCTTGGATAAGCCACATTACGTGCGGCAGGAAGACTACGTCGCGGGCGGTTATGCATTGTCAAGCTCCATGCCGAATAGATCGATCACCCAAGACAATCTGAAGTACTGGAGGCCGGATCTGTCCGCGGAGAACCCGCGCGCGCACGGGGTTATCACGTCTGTGTCGACACCGCTGGGGAGGGGCCACTTAACCGGTAGTCAAGAGAGCCTGACGGGAAACCTGCCCGGCAGAGAGGTGCGGCAAAAGCATCAGGTTAGCGTTCTTCGAACGTTTACGGTGGAGGATAAGGTGTGATATGCGAGAAATAAGACACAGGATTGTCTCAAGATGTCAACAGATGTCACCACTACTAGTTCCCTCTCGCCTGCGATAATATTACTGCTGACTAGCCTCAAATTTAAGATCATCAATATATTGCTCTGGTCGCTTTATGTTGCCCGAATGGCCACCACTTCCCGTGGTTAGAGAAGCACAGGGGGCGGAGTAATTGGTCAAATTCTGGATATGGACCCGAGTTTAATGATAAGATGCAGAGCGCTCGATCAGAAGCTAGATTATAGCTTTAGCCCTGCTATACCGACACAAATAGGAGGTCGGATTTTGCATGATGGAACATGTTTGTTGTCGCTATGACTATTAAGGTTAGGTGGGCTCAAAGGGCTTCCCGGACTCCGTCTCCAACACCGAAGTAATCGGAGATATATCCGACTCCAACAGCAAGGCAACGACATTAATCCCTCAGACCTCGTACTTATCTTAGGACTTCCCCTCTCCTGTCGATTTTCCAACCCAACACTCGAAATTAAAATGGTTACTGATCCAAACGACAAGGCCCAGTTGAACTTGCAGGCTCTAGCCGACCTCCAAGTTCCTCGTGATCTCTCCATCTCTCCCGACGGTTCTAGGATTGCCTATGCACTACAACCTCTCAGCAAGAAAGGCGACCACGCCACCTCATCAATCTGGATCGCGACAGTCGACAAAGAATACAGCAGTCGCCAGTTCACTTCAGGCTTATTCAACGACGAACAGCCACAATGGTCTCCAGCTGGAACATTGATTGCCTTCAAATCGGATCGGCACCGGCCAGGCAAAAGCTCAGCCATATATGTGTTGCCAGTCGATGGCGGCGAAGCATATCCCGTAACGCCGGTGGACTGCGAGAAGCCAATAGTAGCCTTTGAATGGGATTCCACCGGCACAAGTATCGCATATACCAGTTTCGGATGAGAAGACGGAAGAACAGGTTTCAAAGGAGAAAGTAAAGATGATCCAACTGTTTGGGGGGAAAGACTTGGAATATTCCCGCCTGAGAATTGCCCATGTAGCAACAGGGCAGATCAGAACTATCGTCGCCGGTCATAGACATGTTCATGACTTCACTTGGAGCCCTGATTCAACACAGATTTGCTTTGTTGCCCATAAAGGGCCGGATATCAATTCAGCTGGCTTTTATGGTGCAGAAATCCTGATTACATCGATCTCCGGATCGGAGGAGAAACTAGTCGCCCAGTTCCCCGGACCAATCAGCCAGATCGCATGGGGAAACTGTGGTGTCTTCTTCATTGCAGGTCATGTCCCGACGCACTGCCTAACATCCCTTTCCCTATACGAACTTAATATCGAATACGGTTCATATACAGAGCGAAAAGATGGCGATGAAGCACACTGTTGCATCACTCTCCGCAAAAATCAATCTTGCCTATCCTACCGTGTCCAGAGGTATCTTAATGATGAGTTCTTCTCGATCAGTGATGATGGCACTCGTACGAAGGCCTATAGCGAAAAGTGTGAGATGAGCTCATTTGACGTCCTAAAAACTACGGACAGTAGTGATATCATTGCAATAACGAGGGGTGACGGGTCAAATCCTGAAGAAGTCTTCTCCATCTCGAAATCTACCGGTCCAGTCAAATTGTCAGCCCATAATTCCTCCATCGCCGCTCTAGAAATATCCAAGTCGTGGTCAATTTCAAATTACGCGAGAGATGGATACTACCTTGACGGAATGATGTATGTTCCCTCCGCATACAAATTTGAGGATGGGCCGCTCCCCACTATTCTCATCCCGCACGGAGGACCATACTGGCGGGTAACTACCGGTTTTGCTGTGTGCCATTGTCTCGAGGTTCCGGTATTAGTATCAATGGGCTATGCCGTTCTTTGCCCCAACTACCGTGGTGGGAGCGGTAGGGGTGAAGCTCATGCAGCTTACGCTCGCGGAGGAGTTGGCACAGTTGACTACACTGACTGCATTGACCTGCTCCAATACAGTATCGCTAGGGGCAGCGTAGACCCTGCGCGAGTGGCAATAGCTGGTTGGTCACAGGGAGGATTTCTATCCTATTTTGCAGTCACTCGCGAGGAGTTCCAATTCAGAGGAGCCATATGCGGGGCAGGTATATCAGAATGGAACTCTATGGCAATGATGAGCGATGCATATTGGATGCAGGGTGAGGTGGTTGGCGGTGCCCCATGGGATGTTGATACGAATTTAAAGCCCGGTGAAGAAGACTCAATTACAAGCCCCGAGAAAAGATGGATTGGCGACACCAATGGTCGGAGGGGAAGCGCATTATGGCACATGCGTAATGTGAAAACTCCCATTCTGATTCTTCATGGGGAGGACGACGAGCGTGTGCCTTTAGAACAGGCCATCGCGTTCTATCGCGCATGTGTCCACAACAATGTACCTGTTGAGATGGTGACTTATCCTCGAGAAGGGCATTTTATTGTTGAAAGGAGACATCTCATTGATATGTGGGAGCGGATGAGGACGTTTTGTTATCGGAACTTACAGTGATTCTGGCCCCCTGCTAGGGAACCTCATTGTGCTGATGATTATTCCTATTGTTCTTGTGTACCATCCTTTTGCATGATATAACCCAGACATACTATTTATCAAGCACATACGACCACAGGGTGTGGAAAACAGGGCTTCCCGTCCGCTCAGCCGTACTTAAGCCACACGCCGGGAGGTTAGTAGTTGGGTGGGTGACCACCAGCGAATCCCTTCTGTTGTATGTTTTTGTTTTTTTATTTTTATTCAGCTGTTAGTCAATAATAACTCAGCAGAGTATGCTCTTTTCTTTTATTCTAAGTTTACTAGGAGGAGTTTGGCCCTCATGATAATTTTAGACGCTGCGGTGTCACTTCATTTAATTGCAATTCAAGGTTGCATGGCTTCCGCATAAACTGGAGTCATAAGGTGTTGCACAAATGTTCCAACTCGTGTAGATAATATATTTCGATGAGTTAACGGGTCTATCACGAGCACTTCGAGAAGACGGTTCCAGTTCCAACAGCATAGCTCCTCCAGCCTGCTTTCGGCAGATCAATGTCTGGGTCTCCCGACAAGAATTTCATGAACACCCCGTGAGTTACAACCACAACGTCTGTCCGTCCTTGGTGTTGCAGATCCTCGCAAACTGCGGCAATACGAGATCTCATCCTCTGTGCCCGCTCCTCCACAGCTTCGTCGGCGGGAGAATAGAAGTCCTCTTTCACTTGCCAACCCTCAGCCAAATCCTGGAAACCTAGTCTCGGAAAAGCCGCTTCCAGGACCCTAGTTGGGGACCCCGTATCACAGGGAAGGGCACTTCTCTCTTGCAAATCCGGTTCCAAGAAAAGGACTGCGCCATTCTCCACTCCGTCCCCAGAGTCGGGGTCGAAATACCGTTTATCAAGAATATGGGAAAAAGCCGTGAGGGTGGTTTGGATAGCTCGTTTGAGTGGAGAGGTGATGATAACACCCACCTGGGGGGCGTAGGGGAATAGCTGGCCGAGCCCTGTAGCTTGCTGAAGGCCAAGAGGGGTCAACTCAGGATCCAACTGAGAGAAGTCATGAGTGACATTGTGGACCGATTCGGCGTGGCGGACGAGATGGACCTTCAAGGCCATGTTGAGGAACAAAAGTGCTAACTATCTGTCCATCCAGGGTCTTGCTAGCTCTAAATACAGCTCAATTACCCCTCGGCAAATCTCGGGCCGAAGTGGTAATTTCTGTGCCGTATTGCGTGACATATTTCTCTCGGAGCAGCGCTATGATTATCAGCTCTGTTGACCAGGAAGACTGAGAGAACTTTGGATGGGTTGGACCCTCCCAGGAACCTACTTATCGACTAGCTCCCCCCTGGATGAAACCATTGGCCATTCAGATGGAGAACATTTTCTTGGCGCCGTCGAGGTATCTCTTATCTCGAACCTAGTGTTGCGCCCGATTCTTGCGGGACTGTCGATATTTGCTGTGGGACTCAATAAATTCTGAGAACTATATCATGGGTTCAACTGATGGCGCGTTGATCCGTCCGCAACGATGACGACTTAGGAACAGGTGAGGAAGCAAATTGGTCCTTCTCAGTCAGACAACCCGTGGCCCACCTTTTCTACTAAGTTTGGCCTCTTTAACTAAACGCGAACAGTTCCCCGAAAAGCAACAGCCAATTAGAAGCTCGCGGTGACAGACCGCGGACCTAGTACTTATGTATGTTAAGTACATGTGAACAGTTGCCGACCTCGTATTGGATCCATGTCGGGTGGATTTCCAACCTTAAATTCTTTGTTCAACTGAATTAGCTCACTATCCTAGAGGTCGATATAATCTCGATCTCCTCTTGAACGACGGTCGGTTCGTGTTTCCTCATGCTTTGAAGAAGTTGATTACCGTATGTCGAGTTGTAACCCAATATAAAATGCTGCTCCTGACACATTCGCGGCCTATCTCGTCCTTACGGGCCCTGCATCGGAGCTGGCGCAGCCATGCCGGCGCAACCGACCCGGCACGCGCAGAAGAGCCCCTTCTTGAACGCTTGGGCGAGGTCGTGCGACATACCTGGTATCTGGGATTTACGTCTTTTGGGGGTCCGCCGGTTCATTTCCAGATTTTTCACGCGCGGTTTGTCGAACAGGAAAAGTGGGTTGATGAGCAGACGGTAGGGATGCATGAATAACGTCCAGGATCGTCAGGCGCTAACAGGTAAAAGTACCAAGAACTTTTCGCTATCTGTCAGGGCCTGCCGGGACCGGGTTCGACCAAGATGCTATTCTGCTTGACGTAGCTTCACGCCGGTTTCATCCCGGCCATACTGGCATTTGTCCTATGGTGGTATGTCTACTGCTTTAATTGCGTCCCTTGCCATTCGGAATGATGGGCTGATCAGTTTTACTAGTCTTCCCGGCGCAGTCGGTATGTATGCCCTCTCTCTCGGCGTGCAACGGATCGACGAAACACTGCCCGCGGCAGTCTACGCTCTTCTCTCCGGTCTAAATGCCTCGACAGTAGGCATTGTTGCCCTCGCTGCCGTCCAGCTAGCTGAAAAGGCCATCCGTGATAAGATTGCCCGCATCCTGGTTATTTTCGGTGCATGCGCAGGCCTCTGCTATAGCGCGCTCTGGTATTTCCCAGTTCTTATGGTTGCGGGTGGTGTTACTACGGCACTGTGGGATGGTTGGATATATCAACAAATTCTCAGGGCAAGGATGGCTTGGAAAAATAGGAATCGGCAGCCCGAACCGGAGGGTGACGAGCCTGGATCGGCAGGCCGCGAGAGTTCGTCCATGCAAAGCCCAGAACAGGGTGCTAGAATAGAGATGCTACGGATGAGGAAGTCAGGTGCAGAGGCATCCCCCCCGAACTCAACCAATATCCAGGCCCCGGAAGGAGGGGAAGCCGCACCTGCATGGGAGCATATCATTCGGATCCGTGTAGGGGCTGCAATTCTTATCTTCTTCTTTGGTAAGCTTCCGTGTGAGAATTTGCATTATCGCTGAATGAAGGCTGACCCTGAACCATAGCGTCCTTCATCGCCATTCTTGTCACAAGAGCCAAACTCTCCGCACCGCCTCTATCTCTCGAACTCTTCGCGAATATGTACTTAGCTGGCACTGTGATCTTCGGCGGCGGCCCCGTCGTTATCCCCTTGCTCCGGTCATACGTCGTAGACCCGGGTTGGGTTTCCAGTCGAGACTTCCTCATCGGCCTTGCAATCATTCAGGCCTTCCCCGGCCCAAACTTCAACTTTGCAGTCTTTCTCGGTGCTCTTGCCGTCCGAACAACATCCTACCCGACAGTCTTCGGTGCCTTCCTCTGTGGGCTAGGGATCTTCTTTCCTGGAATTACCCTCGCCGTCGCAATCCAGTCCTTTTGGCGTGTTCTGCGGAAACAAGTATATTGTTGACTTCCTCCGAGGCGTGAATGCATCAGCTGTTGGATTAGTGTTTACAGCTGTGTACCGGCTTTGGGAAATCGGATATCTAACTCCGCAGGATCGTGATGGGCAGAGTCTGGCGAAGGAGCCCTGGTGGGTTGTTATTGCCGCTGTTACATATGCCCAGAGTGCATGGTTCAAGGTCCCGCCTGCGGTTGCAATTGTGCTAGGTGCTGTGCTTGGGTTGTGTTGGTATGAAGTCGTTAGTCCTGCCTGGTGACGGAGTCTAGGGATAGTAGGTACGCGAATAGACTGGTTGGCAGCCAGCCAAGTCTTTGATTCGCAAATTAATATTTAATTTGTCTATGGCGAAGTTATGGAAGGTCAAGTGGAAATACAGATAAAGCTTTGTCGTTGTCGTCTGTCGTTATATAAACTCTGCGTTGGGGTTGATCTTTCTGCTTCAAGCGTGAATAGTTGGGCGAAAATCGAAGGGTATGTGAGCCGTCCGTCCGTCTCCTTGAACACTTCAGGCAAATGAATCAAGATAAGTGATGCGGCTTTTTTTTCTCCAATACAGGTCGACCAGTTAGGTTATTCAACCAAGTCAGATTTGTAATCATCAATTGACATTGGATGGAAATATTCTTGGAAACGTTCGCAGGGTTCCACCGTCTCACTGGAGTCCAGGTGGGTTCGTTGACATCCGTTTGATGGAGTTCGGAAGTTGGCAACGGAACGGAGTAATCACCACAAATACGAATTCACAGCAACGGCCTAAGTCGGCATCATCTACTTCGGTATTGATAGGAAAATTGAATATCTTCCTGGGGAAGAAAAGCTTGCCAACGCAGCGTGAATCGAGAAGCAGTTTCGGTTTTTGCCGATAATGAATTCAACCGTCCTGGATTGCATGATACTGGGTGTTAGTCAGTCAGAAGCTCTCGTTCCCCGTGGCAACATGTCTTACTCATGATAATTGGGTAGCATTATGATGGATACTTTTTACCGCCCTAAGGCGCTTCTTATTGAAAGCTTAATGAAACGATCATTATGATTTATCGAGATGCCAGCCCGCAAATTGCACTTAAGACTCCTTAACGAAGAGCCTAGCTGTTCGTCCCGATCTGTTATGTGACTCGAGAATAATAATGCAAAGAAAGCATGCCGGTATGATTCAAAGAAAAGTGTCCAATGCATCTGATTCACTGGGAACGAGACTGTGGTTGTGGAGAGCGAACTCATGTCACGGTCACATGCATATCAAATGCATGCCGTTGGAGGTGCAATTTACATGAGAAGAGCTTGTTGCAGATATTATATCTAATTTTGGATTATATAATAATAATATAATCCAAAATCTTCTGCTATACCTGTATAATCCGCTGTGGTTTACTGATCAATCCTGTTTTAGAACACAGAGTATCAAGTAAGTTTAGGGATAAATAGATTGAATGGCATTGTCTGATACATGTATGTGAATTGATATGAACTGATGTCGGCTGCACGTGGTAGGCTAACCCTACTCCGAAGAACGCGCATATGTACATCAAATTTGACAAGGGGGTGAATTAGTAAAGATGGTCACAGCGTGAAATATTACATGATTGTATGAAACCTCAATCTTCGACCCTTACACATTGTGCTTCTTGAGAAAGTCCTGAATGAAGTTAAAAGCACCCGGCGCCGCATAATGCAAGTTCAAGGCGTGACCTACAGCAGGAGCCACGTAGGTAGCAGTATTCTCCTCTGATACTTCCGGATACAGCGCAGGCACAAGACCAGCCAAAATATTGGACGGAGAACTGCAGTTCCCGTTACAGAAAGGCAAATCTTCATTTCCAGCAACGACCGCAACGGGACCTTGGAATTCGCTCGTTGCATTGATAACGTGCGTTAACGTGAAAAGTTCACCCAGCGTGAAGCTTCCCTTGGTGGCATCTGCCAGCGATAGGATTTCGGGGTCAAAACCAGGGTCGTAGAAAAACGCAATCTGATTCGACACGGGCGTCCCAGCGACAAGGTATCCAGTAGAGAGCCCACTGAAGCGGTACGGCTGGGTTTCCGAGGCAATGGCTGCATTAAGACCCAGGCCAAAACCAGGCAGACCGTTCGAATTGAGTGTAAATCCTGTCAACACTGCGGCGTCGAGGGTCTTTGGGTAAGCCGCGGTGACACCCTGGGTCAGGATGCTCCCAAACGAGTGGCCTACACCCACGACAGTCGTAAAGGCGCGGTCACCAAGGGTACCTTGGCGAAGCTTGCTTGCCAGTGCCTCGAGAATCTCCAGCTCAAGTGGCGATTGCACGGCATTCAATGGGTCTTCCTTCGACGATGCGCCAACGCCGAGACGGTTGTACAGGAATGTGGCATACCCTGCGGCCGCGGCGGTGTCGACGTAGCTATATCCCGAGGCAAAGTCCCAGTAGTGGCGGTCCACGCCAATACCGTGCGTGAGGAGCTGGACCTTGGTTGTCTTTGAGTTTTCGCCTGCAGGCAGACAATATGTCGCCTCGATATCGTAGCTGCCGGTGATCCGTTGGGTGCCGCTCGTGAGGGATTTCACGTAGCCATCCCCGCCTGACGACCACAGGCTGACGAGTGTCCGAGTTACTTGCGACTGATTAGAGGGCAAGTTGTACGCGAACTTGAGGTTTTTGTCGGTTGTTGCATTGACTTTAACGATACCGGAGATGCAATGGGCTGATCCGCCGTTGGAAACGTGGACGGTATGATTCATCAACCCGGTCACATTGGGGAATTCCAGACCAGCAGGGCCAGAAAGAAGAGAGGAATTGACGTTCTGTGCCAATGCAGCAGCACCGATCAAGGCAGAAGTGAAGGTCTTCATGGTTGTTGTTGGGCTAATCGATAAAGGCGAGGAGCGAGGATATGAGCCAACTTGGGTTCCTTCTAATTGTCCTTTAGAGAATGCATTTTTCAATCTTCTTATATACTACCCGACCCACATTATTGTGAGCGAATAATCACGACATCGCAAGAACTTCCATTCTGGGTTATCTCTGGACGGAGGTCGATCGCATATTTGTCATGAGCCTAGAACACCTGTTTATACTGACTATCAAAACCGATTGATCTCTATGGCGAATTTATTAGCGGATCCTCAGATAAAATCATTAAGAATAGCACTATAAGAATCAGCATTTTATAAGGCTTTGAACAGTCTATGATCGAATAAAATTATCCAAGATTTGGCAGGGTTATTGCATGATAAAATCAACGAGATTTGACGCTTTTGACGAGGCAAAATCGACAAAGGTTTGGAAGCACATCATTGGATATAGCGAGATATTGAGACAATTCTTATGCGCTATTCCTATATAGGGCTAATCTAACCCAATTAGGTATGTGGTTAATTGTACGTTGTGAGTTGAACACGTTCCAGAAGCTCCATATTACCAATTGCTCACGTATCAGTTATTATCAGCGCTGGCGTATGCGCAAAATGACAAATCTTGGTTACCAGGAAGGGAAAGTGTGCTTTTTTGGCGGGGCCCGGACGGCCGGGAGTTGACGGAGAAGCGGAACTGTGTGCCGTATGCGATTGCGACGACATCTGGCTGCTTCATGTCCGTACTGTTGGCAGTTGTGGCGGCGCACTGGTCGGAGCTGGTGTTGAAAGACTTTGGAGAAGACTACTTCGCCACCGATATAGACCAGTCTGTGGCTAAGAGTGCCATGGCCTCGCTTTCCTTCGCCAGATAGACCGCCATTGACCTGTATGCTTTTCCACCGCTCAGCCACTGGATTAATCTAATCTAAGAACCTCTGTTCTTTGTAGCGAAATTTTCCTAGAAGTCGCTCTTCTCCTTTCCCAGGTCGTCAAAGACGTCGGTTGTCCGGACTGCATCCAATTTGATAGGATACCATTGTTCTCGCTGGAGCTTCACTCCCGGGAGAGCCTGCAGCGATTCCGATCGTTCCCGGAGTAGCTTCACATCTTGGTCTCGGTCCACAAAAGCCTTGACGATGTTTCGCGGCGCTGTTTTAACTCCTTCAATTCGGATGTTCTCCGTCTCGCTCTGGAGTCTCAAGGCAGTTACCGACGATTTGCTGGAGCTGGATTGGTTCTTGCAGAAGTTGATGGCATCTGGGAAGGCTTGGTTGGTGTCCAGTCCTATCACAGGTAGACCCAGCAATGAATGGAGTTGCTAAGTGAGGTAGGGTGAGCCCAGACAATTAGGTTTGCCTACAGCCTAGTTACAGTACCATAGCGCTCTGCTGAAGGACTTTGGGACTAATTGTGCATCATCCAGAGGGCTAAAAGTTCCCACTAGACAGTCCGATGTGCGGGATAGATGAACACAAGTCTCTGTAACCTCAAATATCAACTTGAACAATTTGAAGTCTGCACTTTGATGTTTCCAAGGTTGCATGGATTCTCTATAGATTGGAGACATAAGGTGTTGCACAAATGTTCCAACTCATCTAGATAATGTATTTCGATCAGGTGACGGGTCTATCTCGAGCACTTCGAGAAGACCTATATACAGCTGCCCACTCAAGCACCGGTTTTCTCAAGAAATTTAGTCATAGTCGCCAAGCAAATAGCCTGCTCTTCTTCCAGGTCCCAATCCTTACCAAGCCGATAAGGAACATGGCATGAGTTAGGAGTTTCGAGCACTTCAACCTCATTACCCTTCTTCCTCAAGTTCTCTGCAAACTTCATGATATCATCATAAAGGACTTCCGATGTACCAGCATTGACAAAGACCGGGGTACCCAGCTGAGTCTCGTTTCCTAGAAATGTAATCCAGGAGTTATTGCTATCCCACCCCTCAGGTGTGTAGGCCTTCCGGCCCCAGTCAAGAAAATCCTGTGTGACATAGTCGGCGTTGTAATTGCGGTTCCGGGGCACATTCTCAATGGATTTAGTGCTCAGGTCGACCCAAGGAGACGACAGAATTGCACAGCGAGGCAACGGAAGCGCCGGGTTCTCCTCGTTGATGTAGCGGAGCAGTGCCACCACGAGATTGCCGCCTGCCGAGTCGCCAGCGAATACGATCTGAGATGCTGGGATCTTAAGTACCTCGAGAGCATAAACGTAGGCAGTGATTCCATCCTGGAGTGCCGCAGGGAATGTGGTTTTCTTATCCCGAGATAAGCGATATTGAATGGCAAGCGCTGGCCATCCGGACATTTTACTGAGTTCATTGATACCTACTTCACCAGTTTCCCCGGGACGACTACCGAACATCACATACGCACTCCCGTAGAAGTGAATGATGAGTCGCCGTGGAGGTTCAGCTGGGGCCTCCGGGAACCAGACAGCCCCAACGGGTAGGGGCTCCACTCCCGGTACTGAGCAAGTGATTCCCTTGTAGACTTCAAATTGAGTTGATCCTTGGCCTTCTTTGGTCTTCGTGGTGATGGTCTTTTGGGGTTTGAGCACAATGAATTGATTCCCCAATGGGCCTGCTTCCAGTGACTTTGGCCAGGCTCTCTGAATAGTCGTCAAATAAATCATTGTCATAGTCGATTGACTGGACGTAATTGCTGTTTTCCATGACCAAGCAGCATTGGGCCGGAGGAATTTTGGGATGTTGTAAATCGCCGCGGCCGCCAGCCATACCGGGGCAGTGACGAGGGTGTACGCGGTGTAGAAAAAGGTAAAAGCCTTGGAAGGCATGAGGATTGATCCAGCACTTGGTGCACTTGTGGAGGTTTGAGATAGGGGGGCTGGACTCCTCATATAGCTCTGCGGGTAATAATAGCGACCCTAACAACCTTGAAAGGGAATCATGATGAAAGGTACATTAGTAATTCACTCACCGCGCTAAACTATCTGGTGTGGGGCTTAGTTTCAAATTCACCCAGATTTTGATAACAGAATTACCACTAATATAAATATTTTTTATAAGATTTTATATTGAAAGGATTATAGAAATATAAACTCTTATAATTAACAGTATATTAATTAGATTAAATCATTATAGAAAACTATATGAACCCATATTCCGGTATAATCTTACATAAAATCAGGAAAACTTATATAATACTACCTGTATCAGACTCTTAAATAATAAAAAAAATATAAAATAAATTGTCAAAACAGATATCTGCTAAGTAGACTGAAACGATATATCAATAGCTACTAAGCAGCAGGGGTGACTCAAATGTCTCAACATAATACAGCATGTGTTGCTTTACGTGTTTACTGCAAGCTTGGGGAATTCAACAGTGTTCGGGTTATATTACTGCTTTAAATAATAAAGTACCAGCATAGCTAGCTTCTTACTTAGCGGGCTCGATCAGGTATGAGATTATGAATTGAATTAGATTGAATACTCACAAGATTCTAGTAGAGCCGCGCAAAGTCAAGACTTATGGGTTGGATCAGGAAAGTCTTTCGATACAATTCGTAACTTCGAATTGAGGTTTGGGCCTCCCTACCTGCCTGCACTTACTTCCTCATAGTAACCGGGTAAAATCTGAGAGCATGTTGTCAATAAGTTAAGAAGATACTGGCTTATTCCCATATCATTCCTATCGAAACGACCCCCGCTAAGCTGAAGACCTGCTGAAGGCTCGAAAGACAGTACAGTAATTACATATCTCAATTTTCAATATCGTAACCTTGGCAAAGAGGAGTGGATTTAACTACCGCTATTCATCTTTGCCACTACGTCTCGTTGATGGCTCAAGCATGAGCTGGTAATATATCTAGATCTGCTAGGTCAACTGAGTACAGCAATATGGCGATCAATCTATCGGAGTCTCTCCACATTTTGAACGGCCACATTCCGCAACGCATAAATACAGTAGTAGAGTCGGGGTTATATTAGCCTGTACCTAATCGGCGATGCCAACTCAATTACCTAGCCTTGAGGTCATTTGGCAAAGTAGTAACAATATATCCAAATTGCATACTATTCCCATTTGTGTATGTACAGGTATCAAGTAATATCATACATGCCTGCTCACCTCGATATCGGTTTCAATGCGGACCGCGCCAAGTGGGATATCCAAGTTCCGGTGATGCCCATACTCACCCGGGCTGACATGGATATCTGAAACGAGCTTGTCGACACTGCCGCAACCCGAGTGCCCATTCTGCCAGGAGACAGTATCCTTTTGCTCACCGAAATGGGAGCTAATATAGCTAGGAGAGTTTGTACTAGCTTTATTACTATCCAAATAAATCTTTGGATCTGAAGTATTCCGTAGAGCCTTCGCTAAGGCAAGGCAACTAGGAACACTGATGGAGATGATAGAGATCGATCCCTCGAGAATAGACCAGTAGCCATATTTAACAAAGTGCCAAGTGAGGTCCTGATTCATGATAGGAATGAATTGGATGACAGCAACGAGGCGGCCAAGGGATAACACCACGACTGAGTAAGCCATCATGAAGGCAATCAGGAGATATACACGGCGCTTCAGACTGGCTTGCAGACCCCAAATCATGGGAATCGGGAGGAACAAGATGTAGAAGTCAATCATACACGAGAGAGCGGCCGTTGATAAATACCATTGAAACTGGGCAATGCATGTTCCTGGTAATACAGTATTCCAGGCCTTTGCAATGGGCTGACATTCAAGACCGGTAGAGATCCAGGCTGCCAAGAGCCATGTAGATGTAAGTCCACCCACGATCCAGAGATGTATGCGGAAGGTGCGGTTATTTGTTCGAAATATGCGGGCATAGAAGAACAAGGCCGAAATCTTTGGCAAACAGACTGAGCCGTCGAAGAAAAAAATTGCCACGTAGAGATAACGGGCGCCGGTAAGAAGATATTCTGGGTTTATTGCGGCCACTACCTCCATATGATAACCGAGGCCGATTTGTCTCCACGCCACCACGAGGGAGAGGACGATTAACTCGAACGGCTGCGTAGAATAATATAGTCAGAAACGCGTAATATGTTTTCTGTTGATTGAAGTATACATACTAATGCAAGGAGAGCGAAGAAGTCATCCCACCACCAGTCTTGATGAGTAACAAACTTACTGACAACCCGAAGCACTGTAAATATTATAATAAGAATAATAAGAAAGATTGATGTGATTAAAATCCCTTCTCCGCAGTCGGGAGTATCTTTAGGGATGTCTAGTGCCATGAAGAGCACAGTAAAGCAAGCTAAGGCAAATAATGTGAACTTTGTGACCAGGAGGACGAAGGACAAAAGTGAAGGTTGCTGGGAGCCAATAAATAAGATACGGTGTAGGACCTGGCCTTGTCGTCAATAACAGGGACGGGCCGGAGTGAATGAAGTTGGAGGCAGCTGCGCCTTGTTTCCACCGTCTGTTTCCCTGTCAGCCTCAGGGGACCCTGGTCTCGTTACGGTTCCAAAATGCTGACGGCAGTATGAAAGGCCGAATGAAATTACGCAGCAATCAGCTAAAGCAAAGAGGGGAAGGAGAGGGAAAAGACGCTGAGGGGGCTGGGTGGAGAAGCCCCAAGGCATCAGGTCAGAACTGAAAGAACAAGGATCAGTAGGACTCAGATGGGTGTTAGTCAAACTTTACGACAGTCTCTTCCGCTAAGCCTGCATGAAACAGCGCCCTTTCGCCCCTATCTCCCAACAGCCCGCAATTTACTTCTGAGGGGGCGGTGTTCTTTAAAAAGGTGACCGGAGGGGTTTCATTCTCACTCTCAGCACAATCGCTTCAGTCACATCGCCCCAAAACTCCTCTCTTCCCTTTCTCACCACCAATTACCGCAGGTATGACCTGGTCACAAGTGTCAGCCCACCGCTGGGAGCGCCCAGGCGATGGTCTTGAGAACTACTTTGCCCTTACCGCATCTCTTTCTGCCGCTGCCTACGATGGCAGGCGTCATTACACCATTTTCACCAAACTCCAGCTTGAGTTGGACATGCCGGCAACTGAGGTGGAGTGCTCGTTGAAGAAGGCCTGGGTGCAGCTGCGGTATGAACAGCCCCAGATAGCCACAGTCCACAACGGCACGACCAAAGTCTATGAGGTGCCCGACGACACAGCCTTGCAGGCTTGGATTGCCTCAACCGTGATCATATCTGCAGCTGCCAACGCGGAGGACCTGTACGCCAGTATCACACCTATTGCGCAGGCTACACTATACTACCTCCCTGCCTCGTCTCAATTGGTTTTACGTACCCCTCACGATACTATTGATGGTATCGGGGTCATTCGGTTGTTGGACCGGCTGCTAAGCATCCTAGTGTCTCCACCCGCGGAGAAGATCACATTCGGCGATGAACCCTCCCGATTGGCACCTACCCTTCGTGAAATTCTTGGGGTGGCTGAGCAACCGACCCCCGAGGAATCAGACAGAATGATGGCACTTTGGAAGCCTTACATTGATCATGCTCCTGGCATAGGGCCTGTCTCTAACCTCGGCAATCGTCCGGCCGGCCAGTCGCAGCATGCGAGGCTGGATGTCCCCACACGAACCACTGAGGCCATCATCCAGGCCTGCAAAGCGAAAAACATCACTGTTACTTCCGCGGTCCATGCAGCCTACATTGAGACGATCAAGAAGCACGCCGATCCCGATCATCCATCGTGCCATTATGTCAATACTGCACAGTTTAATCTCCGCCCCTACCTGCCCAAACATGGGTCGCAGTACACTGCCTCGCTTGGTTACACCTTGTTTCCCGTGCACCTGGAGTCTCCATCTTCGTTCGGTCCCACGGCACAGGCTCTTAACCAGTTTTACCGAACGACTTTCGCCGATGATCCCAGTAAGCTGCCCTTGGTGCCGCATATGACCGACCTTCTGTTTGCTGTCACTCAGAACCCGGAGTACCAAAAGGGGCCTTTCCCAAGAGACGCAATCCCCAGTAGCCTGGGAATCATTGAGAACCACATGCGACGGTCTTACGGAACCAACAAAGTGATCGTTCGCGATTTCATGCTCGGAGTCGACGTTGTGATGGGCATGAATATGTTGTCTATCTCCACCTTCCGGGACCAACTGCAGCTTGTGTACAGCTTCAATGACGCGTACCATGAGCCAGAGCATATCTCTCAGTACCTGCAGGAAATTGTGACGGTTCTCACAAAGGAGCTATTAGCAAACTAAGGTGGAGAAAATGAAACCTCCTTTTGCACTTGCGACATGCAGACATCGTTAGTTATAGGAAATGACAGGGATATTTTCCGTCCATCTGAGCGCCGCCGCCCCCCCGCCTCCAATTCGATTTATAGTAGGCTTTCCTGTTGGTCCTTACCCAGTAAGCGAAGAGATGGCCGTACTGTTTGCTTCATAGGATTGCTTTTTTAAGATATCCGCCCCCATCTTGGGTTGAATACTCCTTCCTATTCTAGTAATGATGTTCAGGCGGTTTCTGTCTAGTACTGTCTCTTAGCGTGGCCATGGACCCACATAGTAGGCTTTCAACTTTCAAGCAGTAGAGTCCACTACTCTCCCTTTGCCTTGTCTTTAAAGTCTAGAGATTTACGAAAAGCACCTCTCAGTGGATACTTTCAACAAAGACGTCCGTGAAAGAGGCCCACCTAGATGAATGCATGCTTACCCGTACCTGATTCGTTTATTTAGATTAAGACTATACTTTCTACGTCCCGTTGCGCTCCGTCGGAGGGGTACTCCGTACTAGTGTCTCAAATTAATATATACTCTGTAACTAGTCTTGAAATATTAAGAGGGCTCTCTCACAAGGTGCGATCAGAATTAGTAAATAGTAGGAGGGTATCAGACCGCGTTGAGCTACATACCAATCAGTGCAGTCATATTTAGAGAAATCTTGCCACCGAATGAGCCCGTTCACGTGACTGAGCGACATATAAAATGCATCAAAAAAAAAGAAAGGAAAGAAAAAAAAAAAAACAAACAAAAACAAACAAATAAGCGAGAAACCCTGGGAATTGCCCAAACCACGCTAGTAATGGGTCATTTATTCCTGAACCCATCACAACTGGGACCCCCACGCAAGACTGGCAGTTAGTAGTTCACTAGTAGGCGATACTACGTAATTATGAGGATCTCTATCTTCAACCGCTCCTTCCGAGCGCCCTAGACTGCTGGCAAAATCCTCGTTTCTACCTCAAGGTATTGAGCTAGCGAACGCTGTTCTCAAACAGAGTAATACCAGAATCCCATAACTATAGCTACAACATCACCATTCGACCTTTCGAATTGCTACAACGTTTGTCAATTTCAGTAGGTGAAGTACGTCGGTTGGTCGGTAAAATGGATAGGTAAGGGGTCGGTCATAAAGGAATTTAAGTTAGAGAGTTGTTGTTGAAACAGGGGGAGTAGGAATATCCGGCGGCTGGTCAAAACGCATGACATGCAATGGGGCTAAGAGAGGGGGGCGTGCGCGGGCGCATCCGCGGTGGCGCACTACTGTCGGCGGTCAAAAGCAGTAATCAATCACCCCATTTCGGATTTCACGCTCCGTATTACTATCTATGACTGGGCTGACTGCGCTGCGCCAGTGGGTCTCCCCGGTCTCCCTAGAGTGCTCACGCAGTAACATTCTACAACCCACGGCTGTGTCCCTTGCACCGACAACCCGGCTCCCGACTAATACATGTGAACGATTCACAGTGGGCGGGCCACTTCTCGCTCCGAGCGTCTTCTCCCAGTGCCTTGGAAGCAAACCAATGCCCCAGACATCAATGCTGACCCTTCTAGGCGTAGTACTGCACTGGTAAACTAGTATTATTCTTACATTGCGTTCCGGAGCCACAGTGATTGATGTATATATATCAAGCCTTATGTGCCTAGGAATCAGCCCGGAAGTTTCCTCTTAGTTATAACCTGAGTAGGTAAGTAGTCAATCTCCTCAAGCCCTCCCTTCGAAAGCGGCATATAGTGTACAGCACGGCATAGAGATTCGACTATTACTATGCAATTGCCAGACACCGTGGCAGTTCCAGGACTGCCGGTGGCTCCTGCCGCTGCGCAGCAAACAAGCATGCCTATGGCGGTTGTCGGAATTGGTAAGTTTCGACCTTATCACCATTGTCGATAAAGTCAGGCGTTTGAACGAGATTATAATCAGTATTGTCTAGGCTGCCGGCTTCCCGGCGATGTTTCCAGTCCCGCTCAGCTCTGGGATTTCTTGAGAGAATGCCGCTCGGGTGTGAGTGAGGTCCCTAAGGATCGCTTCAACATCCATAGCTATAGGGGCAGCAAGGATGAGCCGGGCACGACTCTACCATTGGGCGGATACTTTCTTCAGGATGACATCCGCAACTTCGACAACCAGTTCTTCGGCATCAATAATCGAGATGCAGCTGTTATGGACCCCCAGCAGAGGAGGGTGCTAGAGGTAGTATTTGAGACCTTTGAGAGCGCCGGCGTAACCCTGGATGAAGTATCCGGTGCCAATGTCGGGGTTTATAGTACGTCGCCTGCCAAGTAATGATCTTACTCAAGAGTCAATTGACTTACCATAAGAACAGTGGCATCATTCACACCAGATTACATTGCCATGCAGACGAAAGACCCAGAGAGCTTGACGCGGTATAGTAACCTGGGAATGGGGGCCACTATCCTCGGGAACCGCATCAGTCATGTCTTCAACCTGAAAGGGCCAAGTTGTACAGTAGACACAGGTTGCTCGTCCTCTTTCTACGCACTCCACCTTGCTTGTAACGCATTACAGAATGGCGAGTGCGATTCAGCCATCGTGGCGGGCGTCAACCTGATTCAGTCCCCTGAGCTACATGCCACAGTATCCCAGGGTGGGTTCCTATCGCCAACATCTTTCTGCCATACCTTTGATACTTCCGCTGATGGGTGAGTCCAATCTTCCGATCCCATCATCACCGGTAACTCATTCCTATGACTGACGCGGAACGAAAACTTTAAGGTACGCACGAGCAGACGGTGTTAATGCCATCTACATTAAACGACTAGAAGATGCTATCCGTAATCAGGATGCTATTCGGTCAATCATTCGTGGCACCGCAGTGAACAGTAACGGCCGCACACCAGGTATAGCGCAGCCGAGCATCGACGGTCAGGTGGCCGTGATCCGCAAGGCCTATGCACGCGCTGGACTGGATCCCGCAGAAACAGCGTACGTCGAAGCTCATGGCACTGGTACCAAGGTCGGCGATCCAATGGAAGTAGAGGCCCTGTCGCGTGTCTTTCGCAAAGAGCAACGGGCGTCCGCAACTTTGATTGGCTCAGTTAAGCCAAACCTCGGGCACGGTGAGGCGTCTAGCGGGTTGTCTAGTCTCATCAAAGCTACCCTGGCGTTGGAGCACGGACAGATTCCAGCGACTATCAGCGTCAAGAACATTAACCCCAAGATCAAGACTGAGGAATGGGGTGTTGATGTCGTTACCCGGATGACCCCCTTCCCATTATCCGCCCGCGGTGGTCCAAATCGCATCAGTGTAAACTCGTTTGGTTATGGTGGTGCAAATGCCCACGTCATTATAGAGGAAGCGGACCACAAAAAGAATCAAGTTTCAATAAGGACTGGGGGAACTGGTGCGGAAATTCATAAGACGGCTCGAGTATCACAGCTGCCGTATCTACTTCCCTTCTCTGCAAATCGCCTTCAATCTCTCAAGGGTCGAGTGGAACGGCTATCCAATCGGGATCTTTCGTGCCTCTCAGTCAGCGACCTCGCCTATACTCTAGGACAGAGACGATCTCAGTTTGCCTGTCGGGGCTACGTGATTACCCGACAAGAGACCTTGGCACAAGATATCACGGTGGCAAACCTACAAGTTTCTACCTCCAACCTTGAGTTAGGTAGTAGCAGACTAGCATTTGTATTCACCGGTCAGGGCGCTCAGTGGCAAGGCATGGCTCGGCAGCTGCTACACTACCCTACGTTTGCCAGCACAATCCATCAGCTCGACGTGGAACTGAAGGGTCTTCCACACGCCCCTCAATGGAAAATCCTCGATATTATAATGGACGAGTCCGACACCTGCCCCATCAACCAGGCAGTGTTCGCACAACCGATCACCACCGCCGTTCAGATTGGATTGGTGGCGCTGCTGCGATCTTGGTCAATTTTGGCCGAAGGAGTGATTGGGCACTCCTCGGGTGAGATTGGAGCAGCATACGTAGCTGGTCTGCTCTCTGCGAGCGAGGCAATCGTTCTTGCATATTACAGGGGGTACGCGGTTACGAGACAAGCATCAACCGCAGGCGCCATGGCAGCCGTCGGCCTGAGCTCTGATGCGGCTTTCGACTGGATCACCAGGCTAGACCTCGCTGACAACGTTAAAGTAGCGTGCATCAATTCACCATCTAGTGTGACCATCAGTGGTGACCGCGGGAGTATTGAGATTGTGGTTACCGCCCTCCAGGCAAAAGGCGTATTTGCTCGGATATTGAAAACTGATGGGAAAGCCTATCATTCTCACCACATGGTCAGCGTGGGTAAGCTCTACCAAAGCCTCCTGGATAAGGCTGGCATTTTTGCCAAAGATATCGTCCCTGACACTGCCCCCCTTAACACTCATATGTACTCGACGGTCATCTGTAAGCCCTTGAAGCGTCAGATGGCTCGCACTACGGGGTACTGGCGACTCAACCTGGAGTCGCCTGTGCGGTTCTCCGAAGGTCTGAAGGGGCTGTCTGAGTGGATAGCTCCCAACTTGTGGATCGAAATGGGACCGCACACAGCCCTGAAACTCCCCATCATTCAAACGCTTGGACAGTCGACACCTTACCACGGCACACTAAAGCGAGGGCAAGATGGATCAGTGACACTACTCAGCTTCCTTGGATATCTTTTCGTCCATGGCTTCAGGCTGGACTTCTCGAAGCTACTGCGCAGCTACCGCAACGAATCTCCCGCTAAATTCATCTACGACCTCCCAACTTACGCCTGGCACTATGAGAAACCCCTCTGGAATGAATCAAGAACGAGCCGGGAGAGCCGGTATCGCCAGAATCCTAGGCATGAGTTGCTTGGGACAGAAGTGCCTGGAGGAAGCCCGGCATCCTTTGCGTGGCGCAACCTTTTGCACCTCGATCATGTACCTTGGCTCCGGGACCACCGACTGGGCGATACCCCTGTCTTCCCCGCCGCAGGATATACTGCCATGGCAGTGGAGGCTCTGATACAAAAGGCTTTGCCCTCAGGCACCGATCTAACTAGCAAACGCGTCATCCTTCGTCAAGTGGCCTTGCTAAAAGCGCTTCCTTTGAAAGACGACGACTCGATTGAGCTGTTTACCGAGCTTCGTCCGCTTCCCATTTCTAACGTCCGTGATTCGCAACACTGGTGGGAATTCCAAATATTCACCGTGTTGGACGGAAGTACCTACACACTTCACGCCAAGGGAATGATCCGGTTGGATTGCGGCCCCGACGGTACTTCGCACGCAGTCCCATCCCCTAACTGTCGACTGACCGGCCGAAGCAAACACGTTTGGTATGATGTTATTGCTCGAGGCGGCCTCAAGTATTATTCGGCGTTCCAACGCATACAAGAGGTCTACACGCCAGAAAGCAAAGGAACCTTATATGCCGAAACTTCGACCAGTTCATTCGCCCCAGAAGTCCCCACCGGCGCTCAACTATATCCTAGATACTTCCTGCACCCGACCCTACTGGACACCGTTCTTCAGCTTGCCCTCATTGCATGCAGTGGTGGATTCCATAATGGGCTGGTGGCCCGGGTCCCGACTCTCCTCGGGGAGGTCAGCATGAGCTTGGCCCCGCATGCTCCTGGCGAGACTGGCATCATTCGTGCCAAGGCTTCGGTGGTCGGACTTCAGAAGCACAGGGCGAGCACATACTTGTTGAATCAGAACCAACAGCCTGTGGTACAGTTTGAAAATGTTGAAATGACCGCCTTCAGCGCACAGGAACGTACGGAGGAGGTCCGCCATCCCATGGGACGCGTGCACCGGAAGCCCGACATCACGCGAATATCCGAAGATGCCGTCTTTTCTTCAGCCCTTGCTCATGTGCTCTCTGTGACTGATCTCGGGGCGTTTGGGTCACGCTCGCGGCTGCTAGCTGCCCTGGATATGATTGTTCACAAGAAGCCTGATTCCAGGATTCTGTGTCTCGCANCAGACCTGTCCTTTGTGGCCTTGGCCTGCTTGGAGGTCCTGGAGGCCCCCGTAGTCTACCGACGTTTCGAGACATTCTCCTTGGGAAGAATAGGTCCCGATGGAGCGCTGGAGGTTGCAGAAGTCCGCAATTATACTGTGCCTTTAGGCCTTGGCTCTATGGCTTACCGCAAGGCCACCTCGGATGACCAGTACGGCGTGTGCATTTTGGGGCAGGGAACCAGCCAGGCAGTGGTAGGCCACCTGAAGAAGCATACCAATGAGTGCACGTTCTTTCTGGGCCCTTGCACTCAATTCCCAGCCCCAGTGCCCTCGTCGCATTTGCAACTGACGGATCGCGATCACGGTGTACACGTTCTACGTCCCAACCCCAAGTTCACCTCACAGTTCAACCATGTTCTTCTGGTCGAGGCTTCCTTCATGGACTCAAAGCTAGCTAGTCATTTGAGCAAAGAATTGGACATGCCCGTGCAGGCATTGACGCTACGCGATATTCCCCACTCACCCATTCTGCCCCAAACCCTGGTCGTGTCGGTGCTAGAATTGCACAAATCCCTGCTGTCAGACCCAACGGCAGAGGAGTATGACGCAATCAAGAAAGTGATCGAGCATGCTGCCCATATCTTCTGGATTAGCGGTAGTGGTGTTCACAACGGATTCGATCCCACACGGTCTATCTTTACCGGTCTGGCTCGGGCTCTCATCGTCGAGCAGCCCTCTACCAGAATCTTCTCGCTGGAAATTGACCCAGCAACTGAAATGTCAGTGGTTTCCCGGGATGTCTGCCAAATTTTGCAGCAGAAGAATGAAGTAGACTATGAGTACATTCGCGACGGCTCGCAGCTCCTGATTAGCCGCGTCGTACCCGACGAGCGATTGAACCGTGAATTCAGGAGACGACACAACAGCATCCCCATGCCCAAGCCGCTAGCTCAGGTTGACAACGCCTATTTGTTAGTTCCGGAACCAGGCCAACTGAACTCAGCAAGGTTTGTGCAACGACCATCATCGCCCACGCTGCCCGCCGACCATGTTCTTGTTAAGGTTGCATGTATGGGCCTCAATGCTAAAGATGTTTATGTGATGGCCGGTCGAGTATCCACAAAAAATGCCACTTGCAGTTCTGAGTTCACGGGGCAAATTGTGGAGTTGGGTGCCGACGTGCAATCATTCAAGGTCGGTGATCGAGTGGCAGTCATGCATAACGGCCACTTTGGCACCTACGAGACAGTACCTTGGTGGAGCTGTATCAGGCTAGAGGAGCATGAGGACTTGGTTAGCATGGCGGGTGTTCTAGTCGTCTTCTTTACAGCCGTGTACGCGCTCGAATACCGCGCACGTCTCGAGCCCGGTGAATCGCTTCTCATTCACTCTGCTGCTGGTGCTGTTGGCATTGCAACGATCCAACTTGCTCAACACCTTGGGGTGGGCGACATTTACGCCACCGTGGGCAACGAAGAGAAGAAGCGGTATCTGGTCGAGCATTTCGGGCTCCGTTCCGAGAACATCTTTTCCTCGCATGATACCAGGTTCGCAGAGAAGATTAAAGTCCAAACTAGAGGACGCGGTGTCAATGTCATTCTGAACTCCTTGGTGGGAGACCTCCTCCACGAAAGCTGGGATTGCCTAGCGGACTGGGGACGCTTTGTCGAGATTGGTAAACGCGATATTCTCGACTGCGGTAAGCTCAATATGTCCACCTTTGCGCGCGGAACTACTTTCACGTCGTTCGACCTAAACATGCTGAATGAACTCGACACGCCCGAAGCGGCCCGCCAGTTAAAGCGTACAATTCTTGCGCGTTTGTTGCAGCTGGTCCGCGCCGGACACGTTCAGCCCGTCCAGCCCTTGGCCGTCTTCCCCGTCTCAGAACTAAGTGCAGCCTGCAACCACTTCAACAACGCCAAGCGGATGGGTAAGATCGTAATTTCCTTTGAAGACCAGACGCAAATCGTCCCCACGGTTCCTGTGCTCTACTCTACCGTTCTAAACCCAAATAAATCCTACCTAATGGTCGGCTGTCTAGGCGGTCTTGGTCGAAGTCTATCACGGTGGATGATGAACCGCGGAGCCCGTCACTTCATATTCCTCAGCCGCACAGGTCTAGCCAAACCAGCTGCCAGGCATTTTGTCCAGGAGCTAAAACAGGCTGGGGCACGCTGTACAATCGTAACCGGCGACGTTACTACGTACGAGGACGTGGAGCGCGCAGTAGCAGCGGCAGTTGCTGATGCGCCTCTGGGTGGAGTGATTCAGGCCGCAATGGGCCTCCACGAAGCCATTTTCAGTCACATGCCTCGTGAGTACTGGCTTACAGGCACGCAAGCCAAGGTGCGTGGAACATGGAATATCCACCAAGCCCTGGGCAAACTCAAGTGCGAATCCGCTCTGGATTTCTTGCTTTTGACTAGCTCCGTCACTGGACAGATCGGCATGGCCACTGAGGGCAACTATTGCGCTGCGAACCACTTTCTGGACGTGTTTGCGCGCTATCGCCAGAGCCTCGGGCTGCGCGCCATCTCCCTCGGATTGGGCACCATATCGGAGGTCGGGTATCTCCACGAGCACAGCGAAATCGGTGAACTCCTCCTCCGCAAAGGCATCCGTCCCCTTCCCGAGAACGAAGTCCTTCAAATCGTCGACTTTGCTTTATCATCTGATATTGACCAGCAGCAAACGGTCCCCCGAGATCGTCTAGCGCAGTGCCACATCCTAACTGGCATCGAAGACACCAAACTCCAAGACCACCGCAAACAAGGCTTCACGGGTTTCTGGCACAATCTAGACAATACCCGCTTCTCAGTACTTATTAACGCCCTGCAGCGGCAGGCATCCCAGTCCGAAAGCGGGATTAACACCCCTGCGTCAGTCATTCAAACTGTGTTGGCGTCAGGCGACGAGAAGCAGCTACGCGAAGCGGTGATTCAAGCAATAGCGAAGAAAATGTCGAATATTATTCTATTGCCGCTGCCGAAGCTGGATTTGAAGTTGCCGCTGAGTGACTATGGCATGGATAGTATGTTATCAGCGGAGCTAAGACAGTATATCTTTAATTCGATGGGTGTAGATGTCCCGTTTCTGACATTAATGGATACGGCAACGTCGGTGTTGAGTGTTGCTGAGATGGTACTGGAGGAATTGGGAAAGATTATCAGGAATAAAAGTAAGTAGATTATTCTCGCCTGTAAATATACCATGATAATTCTTCTTTTCTTTTCAGATTATTGCACTAAGCTAGCAAGTCACTATTAATTATTTATCTAGATAATATTATGATTTATGCTATTATAATACTACCAAGTAAGATTATTTATTATATAACCAGCCATTGGCTTTCTTGAAGTCTGAGAATACTCACTATCAAGTAATCATTTTATTTGTTGTGACAAGATCTGAATATTAGAATATATAATTTATTGATCAAGTGAGGCATGGCCGCATGTTATACAGGGGCTGCTAGCTTATAGCTACTCTTAGAAATCTAGTCTGCTCCAGCTCGCAGATTACTAATAATCCCAAACAAATTTTATATTATATATCTCCATGCTCCGGGACTTCCCGGGCTTATTATGTTTACAGAATCAAATTCTCTACTTGTCAGTTGTCAGCGCTTATTGTGTATTAATCTTCACTAATGAACAAGCTTTCAAACTGCAAAAAGTAATTACTGTTATACTATCAGATCTTATTATATAATATACCTATATCTTTTGTAGAGCTATCTGCTATCCTTGCATTAGTTGATTATTTGATATCTTTATGACTAAAAATATCCTTATTATATATGGAGAAATACAGTAAATATAATCAGTATATATTTTAATTTTATAAAATAGATGTCGGGAGGTCAAAGGTACTAGGCAAATTATGAAGGCGGTCTAGTACACTCGGTAAGATTGGGTAAGGTCAACTAAGAGTCTTCTGCAAAAGCCTTTCACAGGATCCTCTAGTTGTCGGGCCGGCCCAGGAACGTTAGTCCGAAAATGGAAGGTGATCTAGCGGGGCTAGGCCGGTTAGGGTAAATGAGGTGAATCAGGAAGTGAATAGATAAAATGTCACTAAGCCTAAAAGGGTAATAATAGTCCAAATTAGGAAGCTAGATATCATATAAATAAAAATAAATACAATTGACAAAGTTGTCAAAGGGAAGCAAACTTCCTAAATAGGAAATACGTGGATCCTTTAGATAGGTCTGTAGTACTCCGTAGATACTGATTATTACTAGACTATAAGCTATTTATTTATATATAAAAATTATATAGATAAGTATAATTTCACTTATTTTCTTAATGTCAATATATATCTGTATTTTAGTTATATAGTGTTAGGGGATGGATAGGAGACGTGATAAGGTTGATTGTATGCGAAGGTGCTAGCTACCGTTCTGCTTTGAACTCCAGCGAGGTGCGAAGTAGGGGGTCACATGACACGGCTTTGGTCATGTGACTCGATTCTCCCCTCCCGGGTCGCGCTTGTGCCTCTAACATATAGGATATCTATATACGATATTCTGGATAAGATTTATATGTTTTTATAATATTTAGAATTGATAATTACCTGCATAGCAAAGTTAAACAAGCTATCTAATGCTATATATACAGCTTTAACGTTAACTATACAAGATATATTAGATAAGCTAATACTGTAATACATGATCTAATCGGACTTCCTACTCATACTGCCGGTAGTAAACACCAAAGAATTGCATTTGCCCGATGGCCGCTTTTAACCGTCTTGTTTCTTGTTCCTTAGCCACCAGTTTGTTGCCTATTCAATTCCTCTTTATGACTAGAAAATCATGTGCTAAGATAAACCTATGAAGCAGCATAAACTTGGCAGAGCTTTCAAATATCCCTCCACATGCAGTATTCAAGTATTGACCGTGATACTCATTGATGAAGAAATTCCTTGACAACAATTGACCTCCACTCTTCAAGGAATTTCTCAATAGCCTCGGATGGATAGAATGCTTCATTGAAATGAAGAGTGAGGTGTAGCTGACCATCACGAGTCCATGTATATCCTTGCAGTTTCTTGGTCACAAATTCAACACCCGTCCACCAGTCCTCAATCTCGAGCGTATATCTTGGCCCTTCGTAACGCGTCTGAAGTAGATCGTCAACGAGGCCAAGCTGGCTCAGATCTACAGATGCTGACCCATTTCCTGAATTGGCAACCTCAGCGGGAGTGTCCACCAAAGAAGTAGCAGCTTGGATAAGCAACGGCATAAAGCTGAATGCATCTTTAATGCCCCGATTATAGAATTCGGTCACGGCCCGACAAGCAGACTCGTAATCCTTCCCGTCTTCTAGGTTGAAACTCTGCAGTCGACCTGTATGGTACGTAGCACCTGCACCCGCTGTGCCATTCCAAGGGGCTGGGAGATATCTCCGCACATTGAAAGGGTTCAATAAAATAAAGCGGCCATCTGCGGGGGTCGCATGATTGGCTGCTGTAACCATGAAAGCACTCGCCATACCATTCGTAACGGTAATCCCGCGTTTCTTGATCTCAGTGATAAGCTGCTTAGTCTCATCTTTAGAGAATTTGTGGCTGAGCCGAACTGTCGATCCTGGGATTGTGCCAGGCAAAGCGTGTTTGACCCAACTCAGTGGCTTCAGGCTGGGATCAAAAACCGCTTGCCACTCGCCATCAAACGCCTTTTTAGTCTCTTCTGTAGCCTCAAAACCAGAACAAAACAACTCATTCATTGTCGGAGGAAGACGCGAGATTTCAGATCCATCAAAATTGATTTCTTCGGCTGGTGAGGACAGAAGTGTCAAGAAAGCATCTTGCAACATCATCAAACCCGCTCCATCTGTGCGCCAATGCGGTGTCCGGAAGATAAGCTCTCGCGATGCAGGGACCCAATGGAGTTTGAAAAACGGAGAGGGGGGAAGACTAAGAGCCAATTTCTCAGCGGAAGTGACATTGTATTCAGCTTCTGGGTGGACGATAAAAGTCTCCTCGAGCCATTGATCAATATCTTCTGGAGTAGGCACTGTATATCTGCATAGAGTACCTGTCTCGTCGATAACGCTTGCGAGTCGTGGATGGAGGTGCCGCAGAGCCTTCCACGCTTGTTTCAAATCGGGTATCTCGGGCTTATTTCGAAGCTTAAGAGTACTAATGGTGAAATATGTTCCTTTTGGAAACAGGCCCCCGTGGCGCCGATGGTTCGATGGAAGATTTCCAGGTCATCCAATGGCCGGTCGTACTGGCCGGGCTTAGTCTGCACAAATGGCATGATTTTGGATGGTCCAACTCAAAGATTGATTCAGCTGTGAATTCTGAGGGATGTGAGAGTAGAAGAGCACCAAACGGACCTGGTCTATGAGATGGATTTTAAAGGACTCAGGACCCGGGGTACCTAGTGTAGTGGAGAACCTTGGAAGAGGCTCCAGTATGTGACGTACCCATACGGTATTGTCGTTATTGCGATATCTCCGACAAACGCAAGCTATGATTGTCCAATAAAAAGAACTCACTTGCATACATATGTAGAGAAGTAAAATACAATTATACATAGATCCACCGAAGGATGCTCGGGCTCCACACCGGCACAATTTCCACAACCTTGAAAGTTCCCCTGGTCCCAGTCTTCAAAGTTTTGGGGTTCAACATTGGGATACATTCCAGTGGGTGAAGTAACTATATGGGGGATACTCTGACAGAGGCTCTCTAAAATTTGAACTAGTGTTAAAGGGCTAGCGGTGTGATACTACCCACCTGGGCAGGTGTATGCAATGGATACAATGCTAATCAGTGCGCGGAGTACTAAGGCGTATCTAGCACCTGGGCGTAGATTCACATATCAGGCCACCTGCTCTAGGTCTCCCTCTCCATCTCCCACTACTGTGCCCGTGCGTGGTCCTGCCCTCTATGATTCGCGGACATGGGACACTTGAACTCGAACAGTCCCCACTATACTAGGTACCTAGCTAGCTAGACAGTTAGCTAGCGTCCTGTAAGAGCAAAACAAACAAATACTAGCGTCGTAGGTAATCAATGCCTAGTGTGAAAGATGTCGCGATCCTTGGAAGGTGACGGGTCAATGGCATCTCAGTCAGGTTCGAGTTTTAGGGAGTGAAATTTGTTTTAAATCTACATTTAAAACGTCTCAGCATTTGAGCTTGAATGTTCAAAGGCCAACCCTCTGGGTAGATCCCCCAACTAAATCATTCAGCCACGTTGTGTTCTCCGGAATCCGTCCGTCCCTGCCACCAGATCACACCAGCCTGCGCCAGGTGACTTGGCTAGTACCACAAGGCTGCCGCCCCAGCTCTCCTCCCCGACCCCGACGACAGCCTCGCGCCGGACACTGGAATGCGGCTGTACCCCCCTACGCCACCCACCCACCCACCCATCTCTCTTAACGCCGCACAACCCTACTACCTCTTCTACAAGCTGCTCCGTAACCGAGTACGACAGCCAACTAACGGAACGGCAGCGGACAAGCAGCTGAGACGACCGTGCTGGTTGACACGGCCGGCCGCAATAGCCTCCACAAGAGGACTCGCTAAGTACAGGGCTACGGGCTTACACGAACGATCTGTGACACGTCACGACGTCCGTTGAGGATCACTTTAGCACCGGGGTAAGCGACCAATAGTTCTGGGGCTAACAGCATGGACAGGGAGTCAATCACAGCCTGTCGCCTATGAGACGGTCGAACTCGGCGCTGCTGACCTGCATGTCGCCGTCGCGCGTACCGTGGTGATTCCGTTTCACTAGTTCGTGGCAACATTGTAACTTGCGGCCATGAGGCTCGAAGACCAGGTCCCAACCATGGTACGTGTCAAGGCCTAGTTTTTGTAAACCCACGCTTAGCGATTCGATCCCTGTGCGTGGCAAGCCTAAACATAGCTCCTCGACAGGCTCGGTGCCCTTGTGTGGAGCTGGCTCAGGGAATACGTAGAGAAATTGCTGGATAGCATCCATTGCAAATTGGTTTAACAAAAGTAGTCGAATTTGAGAAATGTCACACTCGAGAGTGCACAGGGTGGGAGCTCTTTCCACTAGCATACCATTTAGAACCGGGATGAAATAGATCGAACAAAATATCTTTTTTTTTTTTTTTTTTTTTTTTTTTTTTTTTTTTTTTTTTTTTTTCATTTCCTCCCTGAGCTTGAGAGCTATGCAGGCAACAAGGACATTGGCTCCGACCTCGAATCGGCACGTGCGGATCTCCGCCTGCGCATCGACCACCTCGAGCACGCATATGCAGCTATCTCGTGGCATCTCTCCTCGATGTTGCAGCAGGACTGGTCGACTGAATCAGTTGACTTCCTGCAAATTCCGGCTGAGAACAAGATACTCGTCTTATCCATGGCAAAGACCCGCTTGGGTCTGATACCGACAGTGTTCTTCGACGACATGATTGACGGATAAGGGCAAGGGCTCAATAATTTTGTAAATATACTAGCGAGTTGACTTTATTGTTCGCATAACAATATTTCTATTTTAACCCATACTATTGGCCAACTGGTATCGGGAAGACATCTACAGTTGAAGCAACAGCAGAATATATCAAGCTGCCCCTAACTATATTCAATAAGAGCCACACATGACGCTAATTGTGACCTCGCTGACTTCCTCGGATCTCTGCAGGTGAGCTTTTTGTTGACCACGGCAATTCCAATGCGCTCGAACAACAACTCGAGGCTATATTCAAAGTTACTGACCACTCCAAAGCCGTACTTCTCTTGGAAAAGGATGATATATTCATAAACAGCACACATCTTAAGAAGATACTCACATTTGTCTGGCGACCTTTTTTCTCCGGAAATATTACCAAGGTAACCTTTTCCTGACTTCGAATCGGGGATTCCAGTTTAATGATACGATCCTTAGTCGGATCCTTTTGATCGTCAGGTATAAAGGCTTGAGCAGGGCTCTCTGGTCCACCGCTCTGAGCAAGTCACGTACGTTGAAAGGGTCTGCCGAGATCGGAGGGAATGAGTTTCGACGGCTGGAGTGTTGAGAACTGAATGGACGAGAAGTGGGCTTCACATCGCTGACTTGCATTTCTCGCTTCCGGACTGACATGACTCGGGGCGTAGGGTAAACCAGGAAGACTTGTTTTACTATCGGGGGAATTGCAACGATGCACTCGAGAAATTACAGTTCCAGATTTACGACTGCTGGTGGAGACGAGTGAAAATTCCTACTGGATATCCAATACGATAGAAGTATAGAAGCGTTTAGCACCAGAAACTCTAGGATACTAACGATCTTGAATGATGGTGACCACACTCTGTGGTCGAATGCTCTATTCCCTTCCTTGGGATTATTTTTATAGAGAGTTTAGTGTAACTTTATAAGCTAATTTCGTTAAGGTTTCTATGATGTCCTCGAGTTAGCAAGGATCTACAACCTGGGAAAGAGTGAGGGTTGTTTGCATCCCGGGCCAGAACATATTTTCATCGACTGGTCGAAAAGCGCAGTCCCTTCATAGATAAGAGATGATATGCGAAACTACTTTCATACCCTCTCTATCTAAGCCGCATGGTCCTGTTAAGGTCTCTAGCAGCGGTAACGATCTACATTGCGGCACCTTACCTTATAAAGTAGCTTAATTCCGAGACTTATGCATGCTTACCATCGACCCTATTCGTCAATAAGTACATCCGACATTCAAGAAACCGGTCCGTTGAACCCATCAAAGTCCTGAATACATCATACACGGCACACGTATCTGCAGCCAAGAGATGACTATTCCGCCGATCTCGACATACCCCTCATGAGTTGAGATAAGCTGCCTATGCTTATGCCCATTCCCAACTCCTATTAACTCCCTAACTCCCTACATTTACGACATCATCTAGACAACGACTGTCGAATTGGTTCAAATCATGGCATCGACCAACGAATTCCGCCTTGGAGTCGACGTCGGCGGTACCTTCACTGACGTGTGCGTCTTCACTCCGAACGGGGAGACAGTCCGCGCCAAAGTCCCCACCACGCCCAACCAAACGATCGGGATTAGACACGGGATCGCGAAAGTGCGACGGGTTCTCAAGGAGCGGTATAACTGGGATGGGACATTTAGGTTCATTCATCATGGTACCACCACGGCGACGAATGCCGTGTTAGAAGGCAAAGGGGCGCGGACTGCCCTGGTGGTCACGGCTGGGCATAAAGATATTCTGGCTGTGAGGCGCTCGCAGATTCCTGGGGGCCTTGGAGCGTGGCTTTATTACACCCCTCCTGAGCCGCCGGTGCCGCTGGAGAGGGTGGTTCAGTGTGCGGAGAGAATGTCGGTTAGTGGGGAGACGGTGGTGGAGGTGGATGGCGAGAGGCTGAAGGGGGATTTGCTAGAGTTGATGGAGCGGGAGAGGCCTGAGGCGGTGGCAGTTTCGTTGCTGAGTTCGTATAAAAATCCTGCTCATGAGGAGGCTGTTGCGAAGATAATTCGAGAGGTATGTGGGCCGGGGGTGTCGGTCAATTGCTCGAGTGAAGTGTTGCGGGAGGTGGGCGAGTATGAGCGAACAGTCACGACGTGTACAATGCTTTGGTGAAGCCGGTGATGCAGAATTATCTGCGCGAGCTGTCCGAGCAGTTGGCGTCGGAGACCGAGGCGATTCGGGTGTTGAAGAGTGATGGTGGCTTGACGAGTGTCGGCCTGGCTGGGAAATTCCCCGTGAATATCTTGATGTCTGGACCGGCTGGAGGAGCCAAAGGAGTGGCTGATGCGGTCGCTCGAAGCACCCCGTACAAAAACCTCATTACTCTCGACATGGGAGGGACTTCGACGGACTGTGCGCTCATTTTGGATGGGAAGCCACGTATCCGTCGAGATACTGTTGTCGATACCCTAACAGTTCGTGCACCGGCCGTAGATATTCATACCGTTGGTGCTGGAGGTGGCTCAATCGCGACATATATGGAGCTCACTGAGACCTTGCGGGTTGGGCCAGAGAGTGCTGGGGCAGCACCAGGTCCAGCCTGTTATGGAAAAGGGGGAACAGAAGCGACGGTCACCGATGCAAATCTCGTCTTGGGATATTTGCCTCATACTCTATTGGATGGTGAATTCTGCTTGGATACCGAGGCAGCAAAGACCGCGATTCAGAAGCTTGCCACGGCAATGGATCTTCCTCTCAGACAAACGGCAGAGAACATAATTAACATTGTCAATGAAACAATGTATGGTGCTGTTCGATTGGTCTCTGTTGAACAGGGATATGATCCAAGAGACTTTGCACTCGTTGCCTTTGGTGGTGCTGGACCCCTGCATGCCAATGCTGTAGGAAAGCTTCTAGGCGCGTGGCCCGTCATTGTCCCTCCGTCTCCAGGCATTCTGTGTGCACAGGGCGATCTGACAACCAAGTTGAGTCATGAGCAGTCCGTGACCTTTACTCGGCTTGTGAGAGATACCTCGTCGGAGGAACTGCAACGTCAGGTGGATGAACTGGAAAAACACTGCGAACAGATAATGCGAGAGTCTTGTGGTTCAGACTGGCCTATGCCATTGGTTGCCACGTACGAGGTCGATGTCCGATACAAAGGACAGGCTCTAACCATCACCATCAACCTCTTGCCCGACGAAATCCAACTAGATGATCAGGCTTGGCGTTGCGTTTTACAAGACGCATTCAACAAAAAGCATCAACAGCAATTTGGCTATTGTCTTCCCGACTTTGAACTCGAGCTGATGCGTATCGGCGTAACCCTCGTGGACGGCTCCTCAGATGTGGAGCTGCCAGTAGTCCCTAAAGCGGAATCTAGCGAGCCTACATCCTCGGCCGTCATTGGCACGCAGATTATTATCATCGAGGGCCAAGAACAGGTAGCGACGGTGTGGGAGCGAGAGAAGATCACGCTCGAAGGCATCCGGGTTACAGGACCCTGCATCATCACGGAAATGGACAGCAACACACTGATTCTTCCAGGCTATTCAGGTGAGATCGATCGGCTCGGCAATATTCTCATCCAGCCGATTGCAAAGCAACCATCCCCAACGACGCAGCATACCTCAGACTCAGCAGCAGACTTGATGCACAGTAACCCGCTCATCGCAACTCTGGTAGCCTCTTCACTGGCATGCATCCGTGGCGAAATGGACAAATTGATGCTTCGCTGCAGCATGTCCCCTGCTATCCGCGAACAGCAAGACGAATTCAATGTCATCACAACTGCAGAGGGCAAGATGCTCGTAGGCCAATTCGGCAGCTTCATCAAGGAGTTCCTTGAGGTGTGGACGGGAAGTATCGAAGAAGGCGATGTGTTCATTACCAATGACACATACATGGTCAAAGGGGCTGTCAGTCACTTGAACGATGTGATTATCATCCTTCCCATCTTTCATGAACATCGGTTGATCGGCTGGGCTTCTCAATTTGGACACCTGACCGATGTCGGCGGCATGGTTCCGGGAAGCCTGTCCATCAACGCCACCTCCATCTATGACGATGGAGTCCAGATTCCATGTATCAAGCTCTACTCCCGAGGGGTGATGAACAGTGACCTAGTCGATCTGCTATGTCGAAACTCCCGTCAACCGGCATGGTATCGATCGGATCTGACGGCTCTGGTGACGGCATGTCGCATGGCAGCAACGCGCATCTCCGAGCTGGCCACCCGCTTCGGAACCGAGGTGTATCTAGCTGCCTGTCAGGAGCTCCTACTTCGGAATCGAACGGGTCTAGCCAAGATTGTAGAGCGTCAGTTCGACGATCAACTCAGCACATTTACCGACTTTGTCGATGACGACGGCCACGGCGTTGGACCCTGGGCCGTAACATGCTCAATGCAGAAGACCAGTGCGGGAGGGTTAAAGTTCGACTGGAGTGGTACTTCGCCCCAGAGCGAGCACAGCATCAACTTTTACCTCTCCGAGACCATGTTCAAGATGCTCGTCGGATACTACCTCATTGCCGCTGCCGCCCCGGGAACCGTCATCAACAACGGGTTCCACGACCTCATTGAAGTGCGTATCCCCGAGGGCACCGTTCTAAAGCCAGTCCGCCCTGCTGCAATTTCCTGTCGCACTCACTTCCTAGGTCGAACCATGGACGTGATCCAAGCGCTGATCGGGCAGAAGAACGAAGCCTATGTAGCGGCAGCTGGATTCAGCGACTCGCCCCATTTCTTCTACTCCGGATACTATCCCTCTGGAGAATGGTATCAACTATATCAGATTGGATTTGGTGGGGTTCCGGCCCGCGCAGCAGGCGACGGACTGGACTGTCATTGCTTGTTCCCCGCCATCAAGTCGATTCCAACGGAGAGCATCGAGCTGAATTACCCCCTTCGGATTGAGGCGAACGAAAGTGTCGCAGACAGTGGTGGCCCGGGATACTTCCGAGGAGGCAATGCGCAACGAACCCTGTATCGATTCCTGGCGAAAGGAGAGATCAGCCTGCATGATGATCGGTGGTTCACGAACCATGGGGTCTCAAAGGGGGGAAGCCGGGACAACGTTCGCGGAAGATCTTGTATCGGTATCCTCGCGGTGCCGATCGTCCAGTGATGGAGGTCCTGCCGTCAAAATGCGACCATGTGCGTGTTAGTCCGGGGGATTTGTTGGAATGGGTAACATGGGGAGGTGGTGGATTGGGCGATCCTCTCACTCGACCCGCTGAGCGGGTTGCGATGGATGTCCGTCGAAAACTGGTGACGTTGGAGGGTGCACGCAACGGATATGGTGTTTTGCTCGATACAGATGGTATGGTCTGTACTCTGGAAACAGAAGAGTTGAGGGCAGATATGCGGAGCCTTGTGACAGATGGCAGCATCTATGACCGCGGAGGCAGTCTGGACGAGCTGCAGGTGTCATGTTTACAAGAGACGGGGCTTGCTGCCCCAATCCCGCCATGGGAAGCTGAGCCATATGGACCCCACACGGGCCTGAATTATGTGAAGCATTGGTATGCCACGATGCAGGAGGCGAGGGGGTGGGAGTTGGAGTAGTGCTTCATGAATTGGCAGGTGTCAACGATTTGTCAATCACGAGTGTAAACGGCATGGTGAACATTCCTGCATGACAGCACACTTGGGTTCCTTTATTATCCAGGCCTTTGCATGTCGTATCACATGGTGTGATTTGGCTGTCTCGAGAAGGCATAGATGGTAAGGTGGAGAAGAACTTGGCCGAATAAGGATATTCCGGGCAAATTGATTCACTCCGCAGGCGGTGTTCACGTACCTGTGACAGCATGGAGAACCATATTTCTCTGCTTTTGAAGCAGACAGTCGCGATAAGTATTATTTTCATTGTTTCTGTGCTTTTTCCTTGTTGTTGACTATAATTAGGGGAATATTATTTTTCTTCCCCAATGTCGAAGCGAATCAAGAGAAATAGTTCTTGACTAGGAATGGATGCCCTACCCATATATATATCACGGGTGTATGATCCCGAGGATAAACCCCAGCCATCATCATATAGTACTACTAGTACTCAGTACTAGAAACTAGTACAACCCCTGAGTGAATAACTGCTCTCGAAGCAGATACTAATCGTCTGCATACACCCCAGCTCGCGCAGTAACCAGCTAACCCGCACCATAAGACCTCCAACACCTCTTCTGGACTTCTTCGTCGTTGGCGACCCGCGGACAAGAAGGCGCCAATTAAGTGGATTTTAAACATACAATAGAGTACGTTATAACCCTTTGCATAGAAAGGTCTGGTACATACGACCACAGGGTGTGGAAAACAGGGCTTCCCGTCCGCTCAGCCGTACTTAAGCCACACGCCGGGAGGTTAGTAGTTGGGTGGGTGACCACCAGCGAATCCCTTCTGTTGTATGTTTTTCGTTTCTTTTTTCCCTCTCAACTGCTGCTAGCATAGTCAGTATGCTCCTTGTTTTTATTTTTTTTGTAGCCAGAAGAAGTGTAGTCACGGTGCGCCGCTAGTCAGTACGAAGACCATGGTTGGCTGAAAGCAGGAAGTAGTTGTGTTTAATTCATCTCACAGTGAGTCGGGATAAGGATATACTATAAAGATCCGGAAACGCAAAAGCGATCGGATGGACATATTGTACCGATTATTTCTGATCTACGTTTTCAGAAAAAGAATAAGCAAACAGACTTGCAGGAAGCGATTAACTTAGAATGTAAGCGGTACTAGGTCAGGATAACTCCGTGCAACCTCTTAACTATACACCTAGACGAACTATCATGCTGCCAAGATATCTAGATACCATGTTTCGTTGTCGCTGTTGGTATTTCCCGGACGTCAACCATAGTCACTACCATGGGTATAAGCACTACTAGAACATGAACCATATCCTCTGATCAGAGGATTGCGTTATACCGCCATGCACATCAATAAATAATATAACGAACCAGAAAGACTGCCTCAGCCAGGAGAATATAGAAGAAAAAGTATAGTGATAAAAATCCTTCCCACAAAGCGTATAAAGCGTATAATACCAGAACCACCCGAACTCCAAATCCCCGTCGTAGGAAACGTCTCAAGAACTCCGGAACCAGACCCTCTATGACCAGCATGAGACTAACCGCATTACTTTTTTAGCCTTCCCGGATATTAAACTCGTAACCTTCACTCCGGAGCAGCGTGATACTTCTCAGTAGCTGAGCGGAACAACTCCTGTTGCTGCCGTAGAAGCTCCTCCTCGGACAACCCGCTCTGCTCCATCTTGCTCTGCTTCTTCTCTCGCGACTAGTGTAACCGATCCATGTTAGCCGGACAATGCCACAAAAGAGGTAATGGTAACAGCCACATACCTTCAACTGCTCTTTGTGTTCCTCCGCGACAGCAAGGACATCGGGGATGTAGTCGCTGAAACCGAGATCACGGAGGGCGCGCTCGACATGTTCGCAGGCGATGGTCTTCTTGGCTTCCTTTTCACTGATATCGTTTGCTTCGGAAGAGATCAAAGTGATGAATTCAACGCAGCATTCCATGAGGAGATCGCGAGCATCTTTGGAGAATGTCTGGCCGGATGAAGGAGGTAGGATCTCGGTGATGATCTTTTGGACCGTCGCTGTGAGTATGGTTTGCGATTTAGTATATGATGGATATTTGATTATATTTTATACTGAGTCCGAGGGAGGCAAAGCAAAGGGCGACGAGTCCCACTGCCCTCAAAAGTGGGGGAGTCGATGCGACGCGACAACACGGCGGAAGGCGACATACCTTTAGGTAGCGACAAGTCGTCGTTCGCTAGGAAAATCGCAAGTTAGCTTGACATCATAATATCGCGCCAGGAAGTAATCTGGCAAAGAACTTACCACTAAATTCGCGATCTGACATGATGGGCGACAAGGAAGGGAATATACGAAACGCGCGTTCTGCACACTGGTGGATGTTGACTCCAGATTCGAAAGTATGTATTGAGACGGTGCGCGGGGAGCAACTGGTTGGTATAAATAGCTGCGATTAAATCCCGGCGCGGAGGGACTCGTCACGGAACGGAAGAACCGCCCGGCAGAAACATACCGCCTCTGGGGTTTTTAATCTCGGTTCACAGCTTTTTTTCGGTTCATGATTTCTTCACTCATGCAGTGCTCTTCGCACAACAGAAAGTGAAAAATGGCTTCACTTTTCATGTTTTGCTTGCTCAATTCTTGAAATTCTTCAAGGAACTAACTTCAATGGTATGTATTTCACACATTTCACTTCCTTTCAATTATCATGATGAACATCGTTGTCGCCCCTATCATACCATCTATGGTGACGTACACTGTCCAAGCCAAACGGACCACTGAAATATTTCCTCACTATCGGAATTTGCCAATCAGTCATTGTATTGTACATTGCTGACTTATTCAAAGAATCTAGGTGCAATTTTTCAAACAACAAATTTACGCGACCACACAATACCTCATTTGGATATCCGTAAGGTATGCGTGATAATTTTTTCTATGCGTCCACAATTGTTTACATGATGATCACATTACATTCCATGCTAAGTATGAAGGTTAACGCCTAATGCTTCCGAAATGTAACCTGCTTTTCATCTTTCGGCTGATTATGTATTCTATCTTGCAATACGTTCTATATTGAGTCTTGTTGACGGTATATACTGACTGTCTTCATAAGAATCATCTAGTTGTAATCTACGCCTGGAATGCCTCCAGAGCCTTGTCGTTCCACCTAGTTATACCTGTTAGCTTTTTTGCCTGAAATGAAGAAATTTTCCAAATCACTCACGTGAAGAACTTCCCAGTAAGCTCGTTAGGAGCGTCCAAAACCAGCTTGGCCATAACATGACCCGGCTGCTCTGGCTTGAGGAGCTTGCCCTCCTTGTGGACCGTCGTAAACTTGGCATGCATCTGCGGCTCCAAGGTCGTAGCATGGTCCTCGCGTAGCTCCCGCTGCATCTCGGTGTCAACCATGCCAGGCCTGATCGAAATTGTAGTAACCTCGGGTTCTTCCTCTCCCAAGCTCAAGGCGAGATGGTTCATGGCCGCCTTCGTCGCACCGTAGAGAGCCCAGCCCCTGTAGGCAGAGACGGCAGCACCCGACGAAGTGAAGATGATTTTTCCCTTGGATTCACGGAGGGCGGGAAGACCGGCCTTGATCTAAGCAGATAACAAACACCCAATGCGTCAGCTATCCAGGTCCCAGTCATGTACCGCTATCCGCCATAAGTTTGAAAGACTCGTACTCACAAAAGCAACAAGACTGATAAAGTTCACGTCGAATCCGTGCTTCCACTGCTCGAAATCCGCGTCCTTGACCTTGCCTACTTGTCCAAGCATGCCGTGGTTGAGGACCATGCCGTCCAGACGACCGAAGGACCTGAGAGCCAGGTCCACGGCCTTCTGACCGATGGAGAAGTCAGCCAGGTCGCCATTGAGCACCTCGACTTGCTTGCTGTATTGCTCCTTAAGCTTCTCGAGAGGTTCACGGCTGCGGGCGATCACGACAACATTGTGGGATTGGGGTGCCGTGAGGAGGTATTTCGTGATGGCGAGGCCGATTCCTGATTGTGTGTGCCTGATCAGTGGCTTGCTCGTAGAGTTGAGTTTGCAATGGAATCGTGGACGGGCTGGATAGGATTACCTCTCGAGGCACCGGTAACGATGATGGTCTTGGACATTGTGCTTTGATTGGTACGGCGGAGATGGTAGGACAGGGTTGTGGTACTATATGGTCTGGTTGCACAACGATAGTGGCTGAATTGTACGAAGAGGGGAATAAGGTTGAGTTATCGCCGGCTTTGGCGGGTGATGTAATGAGGGGAACGTGGGGTGCTTGCCGGCAATTCCTCGCGCTGTTTCATCCGCCATATTGAAGATCGAGCAGTAGGATGAACACACCATTATTAGGGTGTAGGTATATAGCAATGAGAATCGATAATTCCCTTTCAATAACAAGACAAACATCTGGAACATTGGACTGGTGGTTTATGTCGCTAGATCACTGCATTACCTAGCAGCGTAGACATCCTGAACCCGCTAATACTATATCTTCATGTAAAACTGTGTCTTAATATGGCACCATGTTTATTGTTTCGACTGTTATAGTCCACCTAGATTAATACATGTATGATTTACAACGTGTCACATCACTTCAACTCATTAGAAATCTAGGTTCCGGGGTAACCATACCACGAGGATTTGACTTTTCCGCGGAAAAGATATGCTGGTCGAGTGGAGTTGGTGGAGAGGGATAGCGCTCAGTATTATCATCATTAACTTGAGTCTTTGTTTATGTGCGGAATTTATATTCCACTGACCGACTTTTATGGCGTTGTCAATATCAAAGCAACAGATATGAAGTGCCATCGTAGATGGGAGCTGGTACGGCTATACCCTGCGGATATCAGAGATCAATTCATTTTCATGAACGTAAGTCTACTGAGTACTTCGAGTCTAAATGCCATTCCCTACAAGGAAAATGTATTGGAAAGTTCTAGAACCCTTGCCAAGTACCTTGGAGATCTGGAGCGAATCCACTGAATATCATGAAGTCCGTGGGGAAGCCGTTCCCCGGTACTCTTAGTAGTGCATATGGGTCTACCACTCGAATCGAGAGTAACTCTCAACCCCTGCTTCTGATACCAAGAAATTGATTATAGGAATTCTAGTGTTATCTCATAAGCACGTATTTCTTCTTTAGAACGTTTATTCCGCTAATTGTCAGGGGATGGACGAAGACCCGGAAACGTCTGGACCTCCGGAATCGGCTGGGTGTCCGAGTTCGGAACGCTATCTCTGAGCAACAACATCACGCAAGGGAGCAAGGTTGGTTGCTCTATCAGAGGTCCAAGATACATTATCAACAAGGGACATCCTGATGCTTGTTGGTACAAGGTCAACCGGCCCGGTCAACTCGGGAAGGGTACCGGTTGATAAGGGCAAATGCAGCAGCAGGGTGCAAAGTAGTAGTAGGTACCTCATCCGGAAATCATCATTCGAAGGGCGCGATCCACTCTGTTCATCGAATCGACTTTCCCGGATCTACCCCGCCACTTTTGTTTGGAGCTCTGGAGATACCCACTCCTATTTATATAAATTTGACAGCGACCCAAGACGACAGTGCTGAGAGACAAAATTCCCTATCCGCATCAGAAATTGCATTGTGATTCTATGAACTTGAGCGCCATTGTTACCCGAGAACGCTCAGACAAGTCATAGCTCCAATTCCAACATGCCAACCGTCATTCTTGGAGGAGGTATCATTGGCTCCTCAATTGCCTATTACCTCTCTCAAAGTCAACCGCAAGAAGAAATTCATGTCATTGAATCGGCATCCGAGCTGTTCTGCTCTGCCTCTGGCTATGCTGCTGGCTTCTTAGCTAAGGATTGGTTTGCGCCTTCTCTCGCGCCATTGGGCGAGCTGTCATTCAATTTACACGAGTCCCTTGCTGCTGAGCACGGAGGACGGCAGAAATGGGGTTATATGAAAGGTGTGGCGCTGAGCTTAGGCTCTGTGAGCAACAAAGGAGGTGCTCGTGGCGATGATTGGCTTCGTGCAGGTACCAGTCGCGCAGAGACGGCTGCAGGCACAAGCCAGTACGGGGAACCTCAGGTCCCAGAATGGTTGACGCAGCAGCAGGGGGCGAAGGTAGAGCAGATCAGTGATAAGGATACGACTGGTCAAGTGTAAGGCCGACTGAATTCTTGCGCAATGAAGCAAATATGCTGATTATCATTAGTGATCCCTTGAGGTTGTGCAGGTTCCTCATGGACAGCTGCACGTCACGAGGTGTCAAGCTCCACTGTCCAACAAAGGCTTCATCACTTGTCAGGAATGAGGCCGGTACCATTACCGGCGTCAGAATTGTGAACTTGAATACGAAATCCGAATCTACTATCCCCTGTACGAATCTAGTTGTCTGCGCTGGACCGTGGACACCGCAGGTCTTCCGTGACCTGTTCCCGTTCTCCAAAGTTGCACTCCCTATATATCCGCTCGCTGGGTATTCTTTGGTACTTCACTCCCCAAGACATACTCTGGAACACGAGCAGAAAAAGTATCATGGTGAGACCCATGCTTTGTTCACGACATGGCCACCATCCTGCGGCTTTAGCCCGGAATTGTTCTCTCGGGAAGGGAGAGAAATCTACATTGCGGGTTTGAATACCAAGACAATCCCACTTCCGGAACGAGCAGACGACTCCCATAATTCAGTGGACCAAAAGGAGATGGATAGACTGAAGGCAGCGTCTGTTCGCCTGCTTGGGAAGCTTGCCGAGGGCAAAACGGAATCAAGTGACGAAACCCCGAACCTGAACGACCTGAAGATAGTCCGTGAAGGCCTTTGTTTCCGTCCTGCTTCAGATCGTGGCACACCTTTTGTGGGGAGAATTGACGACAGCTTGTTGGGAGAGGGCATCAAGACCGCCACAGGAAGCAGGAAGGGTGGGGTATTTGTCGCTTCGGGCCACGGTCCTTGGGGCATCTCGCTTGCTCTTGGAACTGGAAAGGTTATTGCCGATCTGGTGGAAGGGGTTCAGCCTGCAGTAGATATCAGCGGGCTGGGTGTGACCCGTAGAGGCTTGGAACGTATATAGTCGGCTTTGCATCATCAAACCGCTTAGATCAGTTAACTTTCCTCAATAGAATAATAACTTAGACTGTTCCCCTAACATATAGACTATACACCAATAGCAATCTAGCCCAAAAGTTCACTACGAAGAAAGAGCTGAGTAAGGTACATGCTGAAGATGGACGCCTCAGGCACCAGAAGCTTCTCCGAGATTAGTCAGCGCGGCCGCCACGAGATCGAAGCTCTCCAGAATCTGCAATCAAGAGCTGGGGAAACCACGTCGTGCTAACGTATTTGCTCTGCGCTGTTGCAGCCTTCGCGTACTCTTCATCTCCTCTAGATCCTCGACCTTTCCACCTATATTCATATCTTATTACCGTTCAGCAGTCCTTCTCCGCGAACCGAGCTTGGCGCAACACGTTCCACCATGGCCAACTATCTCGCCTCCATCTTCGGTACAGAGCAGGACAAGGTCAACTGCTCCTTCTACTACAAAATCGGAGCTTGCAGACATGGCGACCGCTGCTCTCGAAAGCACGTTAAGCCGTCATACTCTCAGACGATCCTGATGCCGAACATGTACCAGAATCCCGCGTACGACCCGAAGAGCAAGATGAACCCCAGTCAGCTACAGAACCACTTTGATGCTTTCTACGAGGATGTGTGGTGCGAGATGTGCAAGTACGGCGAGTTGGAGGAATTGGTTGTCTGCGATAACAACAATGACCGTGCGTCGCATCCATTCATATCCCTTCCCCGGATAGTGGTAAGATATAGGCTAACATAGAGTTGCTTCTTCTCTAATAGACCTCATTGGAAACGTCTACGCGCGCTTCAAATACGAAGAAGATGCCCAGGCCGCCTGCGACGCTTTGAATTCACGGTGGTACGCGGCACGACCTATATATTGTGAATTATCACCGGTTACAGATTTTCGAGAAGCTTGTTGTCGGTTAAATAGCGGCGAGGGGTGTGTACGTGGTGGATTCTGCAACTTCATTCATCGGAAGGACCCCAGCAATGAATTGGATCGGGATCTTCGTCTCAGTACGAAGAAGTGGCTGAAGGAGCGTGGCAGGGATGCGAGAAGTGTCAGCCGCAGTCCTAGTCCGGAGCCGACCCGGAGGAGGTACTAGGAGGGCTCTGTGATTTGGATTGTCCTTTGTGTTGTTCTATATGCGGCGTTGGGGGAGAATGACCATCATCTGTCAGCTGTATTTCTATTCTAGTTTCTTTACGCTATGATATCAACTGCATTTGCGATATCCGCAATATGGTTCTGGATTGTGTTAAGGAATGAAACAATTCTTATCTTATAGTGATACTAATTTTTAATAATGGTTTCTGCTATAAAAATCCATGCTGCTAGAACCTACTTACATCCCAATCGATCCTCGAAGACATAAATAAACATTGGACGACACAAAGAACCTCCAGTCTTGGCATCCAGAACCAATAAACGCGGGGCCGCCGGCGCGTCCATCGCGTCGTCCGTCGCATCCAATTTCTTTGTCCGGTCCATCTATTCATATACTCCCCGCATAAAGGAGACATCAAATTCCCTCCAATCTACAAGAGAAACCGCAATGCATAATCTCACCATATAACCACTTAACCTACGACACCCTCTCCCTCAAAGTCCAACCAACCTACATACAAAATGCCCCGATACGCAGAAGACCACGACCGCTACGATGACAGCAACCGCGCATTTCTCCAAGCCTTCATGGCGCGGTCCACCATGACCTTTACACAAGCAAAGCCCGTTCTGGCTGCTATATTCTCCATCAGAGGTAATCCTCTATACTCTACTCATACACCAAAACACCAAACTAAATCCGGATCAATATAGACGACGAACAAGTTTCCCCAGAAGACATAACGGAAGACGACCTCCAAACCTACATCGCCGCCGCCAACAGCGCCATATCCCCCTTCGACCTCGAAATCCGGAGCATACTACCCCAGATTGAAATCAACAACAACAATGACCCTCCCCCAGCTCCGGAACGAGTCTACGCCCTCGTCAACACAACCAGCGACGCCCTCACCCAGCTCGCAACAACATACTCCGCCGACGAAATCGCCTTCGTGAAGCGCATCCTCGACGCCATGTTCGACACATACAATACCCGCCGCCAGGAAGCAATGGTCATAAGTAGTATGCAGGCATTGCAGCTGGCCAAGGCTGGTGCAGGGGACGCAAATAGACGGGAGTCAGGAACACAGCAGCAAGCGACGCAGGGAGGCGCGGCACAGTCGTTGACTATGACGCAGGCGGAGACGATGCTGAAGCAGCTTGTCGAGCAGGGGTGGTTTGAGAAGAGCAGGAAGGGGTATTATCGGTTGAGTCCGCGCGGGTTGATGGAGTTGAGGGGGTGGTTGGTGGCGGCGTATAATGATGAGGGGATTAGGAAGATTAAGTTCTGTGCTGCGTGTAGGGATATCATTACTGCTGTGAGTTGGAGAGTATTCCTTGCTATGCGGGCTTGTTGGCTAATGATTCTGTGATTGTGTTTAGGGCCAACGATGCGGAGACCGCGATTGTACCGGACGATTGCACGATCACTGCATGCGGAATTTCTTTCGTATGCAACAGGCTGAAAGCTGTCCTGTGTGCAAGAGTGCGTGGCCGGGTGATCGATTCGTTGGTGAGCGCGCGATTACTATGTCTGATCCGGCTGCACAGAGGGCTAGACGGTCGGCTGCGAATACTCAGCAGGCCGAAGCTGGGCCTAGTACGCAGTTCACGTTGCCGGAACTGGATGTTGAAGATGAAGCGGATGGTGGTGAGGAAGAGGCTGGGAGTGATTGAAGAAGCTGGGTGATGTTTACTGGGATTATGTTATCACCTTGAGGCTGCCTACGGAGCATGTCGCGAATCATTTGGGCCTGCCATGACGCTCTCCGGATGCGATCAGGACTTCGAGGATCGGAGGCGTCGAGCACTCGGGAGCCGCAGGACACAGGGTCACATACGCCTACAAGGTCCTCCTGACGGAGAGGGCACTTGCACGATGCGTATTGAGGGGATCAGCAGTGGTTGACCCGTTCACCAGCCCCGTTTCAACGACCACTCAGTGTGTCTTCTACAGACTACCATATCTGGTATCGGTCGAAGATGGTCATAATAGATGGCCACACCGTTTCGAAAGAGTCGAAAGAAGGGGAGGTTTGGTAAAATGGCAATTTGTCATGTTAGATACCACAAAGTAGAAATTTGAAGCTATTCGCAACAATTTCCGTTACAAAATTCTTGTCATACCGGAGGACGATAGCTGGTGTTGGTTGCGTACGGCTCCGATCATTTCTACTATCTCTATATTCTCATCTCGCATCTACTGAAGATATGCTCAGATATTAATCAAGTGGTGGCATTGCTATCATCACTATCGTAAAGCACTAGAAACATTAAAGTATGGTCGTGATATTACACGGCCCATCCACTCTTTTTGCACTTTCGCTCTTTCCTCATTTTTTTCTTGCTTCCGTATTTTTCTTTCTTTTTTTTGTTTCATTTTTTCTTCTTTTCATTTATGTCTTTCCATTGATTTTTTGTTCTTCTTCTTCTTCTTTTTTTTTTTTTTTTTGATTCCTGTTTCCTTTCATTTTCATTTTCTTTTCTGTCTTCTTTCATCTTCTTGTCAAATTCCTTTCTCCCATCACCAGCTCGATATCCCTCCCTCTTCTACCCCAACAACAGATTGTAAAAGGCGTGAACATGCGCGTAGATCCACAAACTCCTGATGTAATCGACGTCCCCAATATGGCATCATCTCATAAATACCAAGCAACATATGTTGAAGTAAACGAAGAAATCAGGCAAACTCAACTCCAAGAGCCGATGTAAAAACCAACCCCTCCCTATGGCAAGATCGAAAGATCAAGCAACAAATCATGTAAAATGAAGAAAAATCAGGCGATATCAACCCAATGACCGTATGTAAAACAACCCTCTTTTGTAAGGCAAGATCGAAAGGTCAAGCAGCAAATCATGAGACATATTCAAGAGAGACCAGAGCATCAACCTTAAGCCAAAGAAAGACCAAGGTAACCCGGCCCTCAACTCATCTAGTCAACAACAGGGGCACACAACTCCGCCTCTCGCTGACGGATCCTCTGACGTGCCGTGATTCCGCTCATATCTTTGATGTCAATGTTTGCACCAAAGGTCAGGAAGAGGTTAACAACCGCCATACGAGACTCCCAAGCTCTATTAATGCACCATCCCTCGCCGAGTAGAAGGTTCAAAGGCGTGACACCATTTCCGTCCTCAGCATTCATATCAGCACCGTAATGGAGCAAAAGTCTAACAACATCATAGGAAACATTCGCCAACCGATCAACAGCCCAATGCAATGGGGTTCGGTTGCGTGCGGTAGTCTCTGGGCTCCAAGAGCTGGGGCTCCGTCTGAGATACAGATCGCTGCCGGTGGTTGTTTTAGCATTGGGATCACACCCATTCGAGAGGAGGAGCTGGACAGCCGGGGTGATTCCTAGTCTGACGGCGAGATGCAGAGCAGTGAGACCCTCGATCGAACTGGCTTTCACATCGACACCGTACTGCATCAGGAGCTGAATTATAGCCAGGCACGGGTTCTCGTCGCTTGCTTGTGCGATGTCGAAAGCATACATCAGTGGTGAGTGGCCATATTCGTCTTGCTCGTTGACGTTTGCGCCTTGCGTGGAGAGAAGATGCTGGACAACGTCGATGCGGAGGCCCCACACAGCGTAATGGATAAGAGGAGTTTTGCGGCTCTCGGTCGTGGCGATAGGTTGGCTCTGAGATGAAGCTGTACCGAGCTCCGTGGCCAGGTATTCGAAGGTGTCGAGGCTGCCGTGACTTGCAGCGTACTGGATGAGGTCAGGCTCACTGTCGCGTTTGATTGCGTCTTCTCCGGCACTGGTGATGACATATTTGGTAACGATTTTCACCATGTGATAACTCTGGCTCTCTATGGCGCGGGTAATGTGATGGGCGGTCACCTTGGGGCCCAGGTTCAAAAGCAGGCGGGTAACACCGATCAGATGGGCGTTGCTGCAGGTTATGCTGAGAAGTCGATCCATTTCATCGTCCCTGAAGCGTACTCCGGCTTGAAGAAGGAGGTTTGCGCATTTAGAAGGAGTATTATCTCCGGGACCTCCAGCTCGCTCACCAATGCCCTGGACGCTGGAGTTGCAAGCTTCAGATCGGATAGCTTCGCAAAAGGCATGCTTGAGAACGTCGGGCCCATGAGGACTGGGGAATAAGTGGTGCTTCTTGTACTCAAGTAGCAGCGACAATGCCTTCGAGTACCAGAGTCTCGCGGACAATATGATAGATTCATCTATTCCGCGGGACGGCTTGTTCAGCAGCTGACTGCTCGAGAAGAACTCAATAAATCTTGCCACCACCGTGAGATGACCATTGCTGATGGCATCCTCGAGGGGGGTGGTCCAATATTTGAGGCTTCGAGGGGCCGGGTCACTTTTTCCATGATGGAGAAAGAGGGACACCAGCCCAACATCTCCCCTTATGGCAGCATAATGTAAGGGTGTTATTTCGCGTAAGCTGTTCCGATCCTTGAAAACAGCATGTGGGTTTGCTCCGTACGTCAGCAGCATGGCAACAGTAGTTAGGTCTTCAGGGCATTCAAGTATAGCCCGATGCAAAGCCGTATAGCCATTTTCATCGCGTCTGTTGGGATGATGACCTTCAGCGATCAACAAACTCAAACGGTCGTAATTCAGCTGGCGTGCTGCTTGCAGGAACGGTAATGAGACTCCCATCTCCGTTCCGCTCGAGACCTGGGTGTCCATATCGCTCGACATGATGCACGAGAAACGATGGTTTGAGATGCGGTTTGGATGGAAAAGAAGATGAACACAGGAAAGAGAAGAGAGAAATCAGTAGAGAGAGAAGTCTTCTTCCAGCCATCTTAATTCACTCTCTTCGAGCAACACATAAACAAGTATTCAGGCAGAATCACGACTCTGAAGGCGGTGACGCCAGTTTGCTATATCGCTTCTGCAGTTTTGCATTGTAGGGTTGGGGCTACCTTTGTGCGCGTAGTGAATTGCGCACTGCATATCTGTGGTGTGGTCATTGTGATGTGTGCGGAGGTATGCGGTGGCTGTGAGAGATTTCTCTCCATATTACCATGTATTTGAGATACCCGTGCCATAGCATTTACCAATGTAGAGATATAGAGTCTAGAAATTGAGTGAGAGTGTTGTAGGATGAAGGTAGACACCAGGCAGACAAATGCCGTGGCCGCCAAAGACACATGACTGCTAAATGAGCTCCTTGCCGACTTCACTGCCTCATTCCCCCGCCTTACAATATTCCCATCAGCAACTGCCATACCAAAGTACAACTCCGGCATGACTCACTACCCTGTCTACATAATCCGAACCCATTTGGCAATGCCAGGCCCCGACCTTCCTTCTCCGCGCTATCACACTGCGATCTTCGTTGAAACAGACCCAGTGACTGGCTCTGGAACCATCCACGAAGTGACCGGGGATATCACCTCACCAGAGGGGATGTACTACGAATCTAAACTCGCCCCTCAACCAGAGTCCGTCGAGAACTTCTTTTCTCGAACACTGCTTGGTATGACGGATGCAGCACACTATCCCAACTCTTGGGACAACGTTCTACGAGAGATTCCAGCTCCCCCACAACAAAAGGCATTCAACGTTAAACGAATGAAGACTGAGCCTTTCAAGAGGCTGTCGCCTCTAGAGTTCTATGAGGCCGGTGAGGAAAGACGACCGTTGGTGAAGTGCACTGAGTGGGTGGTTGACAAGGCGATTCCGGCGCTGAGGAAGGCTGGCCTTTTGCAATCATCAATTTCTGCATGAGTTTGCCAGGATGCGCGAGCTTGTGCCCAAACTATAGATGTCAAGGAATGATGTATACAAACACAACATCAACTATATTGGTTTCATACTCGCCTACCGGAAATATGGGGCTGATGTTTGGAGGAATGGTCATGGAGATCGACCAGTGCTCTCCCTGGGTGAGGTTAGAGGGTCAATACACGGAGTATTCCCTCAAATATCTATATCCATCTATATCGATTACTTGGGGAAATGTTAAAGCCCCTTGATGGTTCACAATTTCTGCAGTCTTTTATCTGAATGGTAACTGATGCTTCAAATTATCGTGATCTACCGGGACAGACGTCTTGAGAGAATAGAGTTTTGATGCATAACTTCGCCGCATTAGATATGGCCACCCACTGACATAATATGAAGGAAATATTAGAGAAAAAAAAAATGATCGGCTTGACTGAAAACTGATATCATGCCGCCTCGATGCGATTAAAATCATCAGGCACCTTCCAACCATGTGCTTGACAAGCTCGCCTGTAGGCACTCACAGCTTCACTGAACGGGTAATCGCCATCGCGTTCAATCCGTGCAGGCCAAGGCTCTGTTGAGCAGAGTGCCATACGTACCTGTAGAAACACACTGTCTATGGAGCTCGTCGGAAGCCAGCCTGAGCTTGTGAGTAGCTCCATGCACATGGCGCCACCAGCGGTCACATGGCCACCACCGCGTTGTTGGAAGGACATAAATCGGGGTCGAACAACGCGGATAAAAGGCGGAGACATCGGAAACTGCGGCGGAAAGCGCATTTCCATAACAACGCTCGTGAGACCTTTCTGCTTGAGATCCTGTGCCAAAGGAAGAGAGGGATCGAAGCTGTGGAACTCGACGATCCACTGATAAACGTTGTTGATAAGTGTGGGGTCGACATACCAACCGATCTCATGTAGAGGCTCTCGGTCCTGGATGCGTAATGTTGCCTTGAGATGACGCTGTAGTGACTTTGTCGCGGTTGTGGTCGCGTAGCTTGGTGGTCCAAGGAGCTTGAAAGAATGAGCTTGCAATGTGCCGGGCTGGAAGTCGGTTTTGGACCCGCGTGTCAGATTATGACTGGACTTTGATGCATCGACACGTCTTGATTTTCCAATGACATCGCCATCCGAGTCCGAATCAAGTAAGCGAAGATCCTCAATCTCCGTATCGTCGTTAGGATCAGTGGTCGATGAGCTCTCAGACGGACCACATACCCCCTTCGTAGATGCCTTCCTTTTCTTTTGTCTATGACCTGTGGCTAGCCCATTCGAATCATCTTTGTTCTTGTGGCTCTGGCTCTGCCGAGTGCCAAGGGCCGATATAGGAATGGAAACAGGCTCATTACCAGGGCCACGTGCCGTCCAATCCGGATGCTGTTTGTAAACCTTTGAGGGTTTGTTCTTGTTTTCTCCTTGAGCTTTGATACCACCCCCTGAGATAAACAGGTACCGCGACTGAATCCAGTCTAGTTGAGTAACAACGTAATAGGGCTTGGTCAGTTTGAATTTTGTCGGTGAATTGACAACTTCATTCAGCGAGATAGCAGAAGTGATGTCTAACTTGCTTCGTGACCACTTGGCTCCAGACATACTACCACGAGAGCAGTATATGCGAGAAACCTCAAGATCTTTCGCCATATAAACACCATCTCCATAAGCACGGCCATTCAGCTGTTGAGCAAAGTTTAAACCTTCTCTCAGTATGCTGTGCCAATTATAAATTGGGCTTCCGTGCCAAGCGAAAAGCGTGGGGAACTCCGTATTTGAGCTGTTATTGAGTTCCTGGACGAACCGAGCTTCTTTGTCTGGAGACCCCTGCGCTAGCCTGAATTGCATGTAGTTGTGCATTCCTGTCACCTGATGTTCAGGATTATCGTCGTGTACGATGCACGATCTGTTTGAAGCAAGAATCCATCGTAGTACATATAGAGCTGATGGGCAGATTGTGCCATGCCACGAGGCGAGCGCTTTGTGCTCAGGCGCACTGCTCTCGATGAAATATTTCATCGAAAAGACATCGGGTAATGTGTCAAGGAGTAGCATGACTGCTTTCTGTTTCAAATCTCCAGCTAAACTATCAAAGTCAACACGGAAGGGTACAACTTGCACGTCTAGCCCGTCAGAAAGCGAGTCTTGTGGGTCAGCCCAATAGCCTACAGAGATAGGCTGCGAGATCTCGACAAGTGACTGGTCATGCACTTGGAGCACAGTACTGCAGAGCGATGAAACAGTCGATGGTAGATCAGACGCATTGGCTAGCTTTATTAGAATCCATTCACCAACTTTGAGATTATGAGGCTTTTGGGCTAATAGTGTCATCTTGGCAGCATCCAGCCTCGCAGTCCATGATGGCAGAGTTGATCCAGTAGAGGCAACCTTCATGCCGAGTCCAGAGGGAAGGTCAGTCAGTTGCCCTTGTGCAGCCCGAGCATAAGCAAAGCTAACGAGCATGTCTACCACATACGGCTGTGTGACTATCTCCCATTCTAGCTTGGGACCCATCCCAAGTTGCATATATTGATAGAGGCATAACGGACTGGAACAAACATAAGGCTTTAGAGCCTCAAAACCGGCGTCTATCTTGCAATGACAGTTCAGACAGAATTCCGTGCACTTAACAAAACGTCGCAGAGTATACTGCATGGCAATGAGAGGAAGGGACAGCTGATGTGCTGTATGCTGTGACAGATCGTCTGCTTTAACGAAGCCGGGTGTGAACTTGGCCCATTCTTCTGGAACAAAGTATTTGGGAAGCTTAGAATCTTTGGTATCTAGCTTCTTACCCTGAGCGTCATTGTAGAAAATTTCTGCCCCGGTCCATGAGAAACCGTGTCTGAGTCGATCTTGTACAATACTGAGGAAGCGATCGTTGAGAAGGGTCTCTAACGGGTCGGTGATGAACGAAGATTTTAAAGCCGATTTGGGAGTTGAGCTTGATACACCGAGGCCGGAGAATTCCTGGTGCGTCTCTGGGATAGACACCGCCGTGGGCTTGTACCTATCGCAAAAACCGACATACATCCTGACTGGCGAAGGAGCTGTCTGGGACTGGGATACAATGTGGTCTAGTCTCCGATACCCCCTTGGGTAATAAAGAAGCAACACTATAAAGTGTGTGGGGCAGACATCCCACATTTGCATGGCATCCTGTGAAATGCCTAGGCTAGCAATGCGGCAGGAAATAGACACAATGAACGAGCCCTCCAGGTCACCAAGATAGCCAACCTTGAATCCTGCGCTTTTAGCTGCTCGAAGATCAGTCCGCAGTTGCTTCATATCCACGGAATGGTCCATCTGTGGGGCATCGGGGTACTCGTCCCAGTCCATATCTTCACCATCTGAGATGGCATCGAAGTCGTCATCTATAGGAGAACTTGCCCGCGGTTCTCTCCCGAGGGCAGCTTGGTCAAGGTAATTACAGAAGCCTTCTAGGAATGTCTCTAGAGAGCAACCATTGAACTTGCATTGTACTGTCTCCAGAATGGCGGAAACAGCCGGGGGGATATTGTCCGTGACAGCGAACGCAAAGTAACTGTGATTATCGGGGTATTCGGTGGCATCTATCACGCGGTTAGTAAACCAGATGAATAACACATCATGAAGGTTCTCACATACCAAGAATGGAGACCATAAATTCAATGTGCATGCTGGGCTGGAAGCTGTAGGTAAAGGCGATGGTACTGTCTTCGTCACCGAGCCTGAGGTGGCTTAGACGGGGAAATCTCCCTCGGAGGCATACGTCGGAAAGATCTTTGCGGAAGAGTTTCCAAGGCATGCTGACTTGCTGAGGATGGACCAGGCCTATCCGTTGAGATTAACAGAGAAGCGGGTGAAGACGTCTGACAGAAGGTGAGAGGTAAGGGCGCAGAATGAGGAAATGCAACGGGTCGGTTTTCCGTGCAAGGCTCGGCTGTGGAAATAAGGCGGGGTTATCAGGTACACATTCAGAATGGAAAGGCAACAGTAATCCCTGTAGGATAAAATAAAGATCGCTGATAAAGCTGGAGACCGTTGATGGCTCCAGTAATTTGTAGCGTTTGTTTAAAGTCTTGTCAAAAGCTAACTGTAGGTACTATATTTGTGGTCAGTATGTAGCTGATAAGGCTGTTGGGTGTTCCTGTGGCCGTAAGTCATTGCAAGGGGAGACTAGCAGATCACGTTACTTACTGTGGATGATTTGAACGAGAATCTACTTCGAACTCGACTACAAGGGAGATGGGAGGGGTGAAGAGGTGAGCATGAACCAACTCGAAACCATTTATGTAGGAGTAGGTACAACAATGGTTATTTGATTATGTTGGGGAATCTGGACATTTATGAATAAAGAGGCATTAGTAGTATCGCAAGCTACCGGATGTTTGCACAAACAATAGTTTGATTTTGAATGACCTGCGATCTCACAACACTCTGTTTTATGATTCATCTTTAAAACGCAACATCTATAGAATTTTCTGTGAGACGATTTGGTTGTGGCGCGTTGGTACGAGGTCCATCTTCCATGCGTACTACTGGATCTTCCAGTGGAGTACTCCATACATAGTCCATAGTCACACATGGAGCCGAAATCCTGGTCTGTGCGCAGATCTTACTTTGTGCCTTTTTTTTTGTCAGGAACTTGAAAGGCTTATTATTATGGCGCGTCACGGAATAATCCGGCACCTGAGCAACAACTGTCGCTTTCCTTTGATCCACCGATATACCCATTCTTTAGATAATCGAGACCACTGGAAATAATGAAAACAATGTTAGCTGCATGATCCTGGTGTTTAAACACCAGGATCCGAGACAGGATCCCTAGCAAGTAGATACAACAACAGCTACGGAAGGCGGTAAGTAGAAAGCATTTGTCTGCTCATAACTCGGCCAATTACATATCAGGATGCATCGAACTGAAAAGATGTCTTGGATAATATATGTAGAGATACCCTTCATGCATTTACACAGGCGATGGCAAGGTAGAGAGAGATCTTGCTTATTAAGAGGACTAGCTAACTGCATGTATTGCCTCACTTGCTAGTAGTAAGTAGATCATATAGCTAGATAATCATGGGGCGCCATGATAAGAGATATTTCAGCATTATATTTGTATGAAACAGGTACTAGAGATTTAAAACTAAATCTTTACCCATGCAAGCATGGGTAGTGGAAGCGAGGATGTTGTACTGAATTGTGAAGGTTGAGTGGAGCGAAAGTGGAACGCCACCCCTTCCGGATCAGGAAGTCTCCGCGTATTCGTTTACGGTTGTGCGCCTCATTCGCGAATTGCTAGGGGCGCCCCCCCACTGTCACAGACATCATCGACTACGTATTAATGGGTCTGGTAAAAGCTTCGACAATCATCCTATTTATATATCCTGGACAATGCTTTCAGATGAAAAATATGTGGGACAAGCCACTAGACAGTGGTACAAAGGTGTGCCATCCCGCCGTTCCCCTGCATTTTCTTTCTGCAATCCCTTCCCAGCAGCTCTTTTGTCATTGAAGCCACCCAAGTCTGGGTCGTGTACTATTCCTTACAATGCCTATCACCGTGTCGTTGGTCAATCAGCAGCAGTGTTACGCTGGAAATGACCGAATCAGAGGTCGTGTTATCTTTCAATGTCCTACCCCAACAGAGATTCAGGATATTCGAGTGACATTCTCCGGGCGCGCAAAGGCAAAGGTGCAGAAGACCAAGGGATCTGCAGCCCCTGCCGCCAGCTATCGTAGCAAATGTATCCTTTTCGAAAAGGAGAGAATACTATGGCACCCGAATGGCGATACAGTTGCCCCTGACACGTATGAATGGCCGTTCGAATTCGTCTTTCCGTCACATGCCCAGGCCGCCTCGTCAAGATGGCCCGAAACTTTGCCTTTCCGCAGCGACGCGAATCACCCCCTGCCACCCACCTTTGCAGCCGAAACTCATGATTCTTTACGGAAGCTGGAGTGCACCATCGAGTACCGAGTCCACGCCCAAGTATTCAGACCGCAGCGAGGAATCTTAGGGAGAAAGTCACCTTTGTTCTCTGAGGTCGTACATTTGAACTTTTTACCGCTTGAAGCTAGATGGGATTTGAAAAGCACAGACAGCTACCCTGCGACATATCAGCAACAGAAGGAGCAGTTGTTCAATATACGAAGCATGCTTCTACTCCCGGAAAATAAGGGAAGAAGCCTGAAGGTGCAGGAGAAGATCCAGTCATGGCTATCACCTGGTCAGCTGCCTCGGTTCAGCTTTAAAGCGTCTTTTTCCTACCCCACACGCATGATACAATCTGCACCGATCCCATGCTTTTTAGACATTACGCCTTTTATGGAGGACTCTTCTGTTATTTCACCTCCGGACATTGTGATGCAATCTTTGTCCATCTTCATGGTCAGTCAAACTGCCGCTCGGGCCGCTCCGTCTTTAATGGGAGCATTATCGGGCCAAGTTGACGAGCGGATTGAAATACTATCACGGACGTCACTCGGTATGCGAGTTTTGGGTAAAGTGGACTTAGCGCAGGCTTTTGGACATCTTAGAATCAGGCATACAGATGTTTCTTTCCGCACATTCAACATCAGCAGGACGTATCGGTTGTGCGCGTCATTTTCGTTTGAATGTGCAGGAAAAACAAGTACCTTTGATGTTCCCGATCTCCCTGTGGAGCTATTGGCAAACTCTTGGGAACCAGAAAAAGCTACTCAAAGCTTCGAAGGGCACGTTGCGGAGGACGCTAGCCCGCCGCCATATGCATCTGCGTCAACTTTGTCTACATCATCAATAACGACGCCCGAGAAATCCTGAGTAGCGCTACGCTTCTCGCGTTGGCTGCATATCTAATGTGCCATCTTCGGAATTGCGGTTCGTGAACGAATTTTGGAGCCACTCTTCTGGTTTGTCAGTTAGGGGCCCCATAAGTAAACAATGGCCTGTGAAAATTAGACCACAGTGAGGCCAAGCCTGACTGTTGCGGCTTCTCAGAGCTTAAACAAGCTACAACTGGCACGTGCCTGCCTCCCACCTGAAAGACCGACCAGCACATGCACTGCGACTGAATGTATACCTTATAAACTGTCAGGACGTTTATACTTGAAGCCATCTTATTCAGACATCACACGTGGAATGGAGACGACCCTGTACCTTTGTACGATTACAGCTTAGGCAAAGGCCTGATTAGTGCTTACTGGCTATGCTCATGCGGGTAAACTGGGCCAATCCCTTAGCCGATTGCTAGTTCTGGTGAAGACCCGCAACGACGGCGTCTAACCAAAGCATTTGACTGGACACTGTCCTGCCTGTCACACGCTGTTTGGTCACAATGCATTGCATCAATCAAACAAGGTGTGGAGATTTCATAAGGTAATCATTGGGGTCTTAAAAGAGGCGGGGTCTGCGCTCGCATTTCTGATCATCCCACTAATGAACATGGCTGCTATGATGACTCCCGGGTCTCCGGTCAGGTTGGGCCCTGGACCGCGCCGTCGATCTTCAAATCTGGTCATCTTACTGCTCGTCATCATAGCTTTACTTTGGTCTTTAGTTATTCATCAAAATATTGGGCGCGGCCTACATGTTACGCTCGACGACATCCGGGACCCCTTAGACGCGATCGTAAACAACACATTAGGTGTATGCTACTCCATCACCCCGCTGACCATCCGCACATAGATACTGATATAGTATAGTTTGAGAAGATATTTGCGATTAGCCCAGCACAGCGTTTAGACAGACGCGATGCGATTGTACTTGCATCCTCAGCTACAGGATTTCATGTCGACTTCATTGACGGGTTAATCCTTGACGAAGACAGCGCCAAGGTCCGTCAACCTGGAACCCACGATGAATATTTAGCTCACGATTTGTGGTAGGAATTGAACGATTCAAAGGACTCTGAAACAGTTCCTGTTTCCCGCCCGCATGCGAATGCTGTGCAGAGGTAGCGTCTCGTGTCACATACTGTTCGTTCACATCATCTAATAAAATCTATAGAATTGTCGCAGATGGGATCGCAAGTGCATTAATACTTGAGGACGACGTTGACTGGGATATAAATCTCAAGATGCAATTGAAGGGACTCGCCCTAGGCTCTCAGCAAATACCGAAGATCAACGCCCCGGAAAGGAATGCGACCACAGATTCTCCATACGGAGACAGCTGGGACGTTCTTTGGATTGGTCACTGTGGTATGAAGTGCAACAGCTCTTCACCTGTTCAGGTGATGCCTCACGACATAACAGCAATGCCTTCTCGCTACCTTCCGCCTTATTTATATGACGCCCCAGCCGGAACTGGGAACAATGTCCGCATGAGCTGCATAATAGAGAAGGCGGCATGTAGTGCAGCGTACGCGATTACCTACGGCGCGTCCCAGAAGATCCTCGCTGCTTTGACACGGCTCACAGACGATGACAATCTGGATTTTCCAAACCTCCTTAGTGAACTCTGTCACAATGGCTCATTGGAGTGCTACTCGTCTTACCCGTCGCTAGTTGGAAGATGGAAACGCGGCAGAAGAGAAGAATATTCCTCCGATAACGACCAAGAAGCCGTTGATCGTCAGATGTCTCATTCTTCTGGGGTGATGTACAGCACCCTGGGGAATATCGAGCATATCTTGGGCGGGGAGTGTACCGTGCGAGCCTCCATCGATGATGCCATAGTTCCAGAGCTTAACCCGGACCTCTTCGAGGTACCTCATTCGTTTCTCCAGTGGACAGATAAGAAAGGAGGACATGAGAGAGCGTTATAACAATGTATGCATAGAAAGCCCTCAATAAATAATTCTCATACCATTTTCAGACGGCGCTCCTTCTAAGTGGAGGGATTCATTTCCATGGCGGCTCACTAAGCAGTCAGCACATGTCCCGCCAAAACAGCCCACAGCAAAATATCCATGACTACTTCTCAGTTTTTCATCAAAATGCATCAACACAATGTCGCGAGTTATCCCAAAACGCGATAAGAAGAGACCTCAGGATCGAAATGCGCAACGCGCTACTCGCCAACGCACCAAGGACTGCCTGGCACTGCTGGAGCTCCAAGTCTCGCAGCTGCAAGGCGGCGCAGACAAGGCGCTTTCAGATGAGCTCAGGCAGATGCGCAAAGAGCGCGACGAATTGGGCACACTAGCTGATGATCTAGTTACTATCGCAGAAGCAACAAAATCAGCATTGGAGTCCAGCAATAATGAAGCCGCCCAGACATAGACAGAAGGAAAATACACTGAACCGAATCCTGGTCTGATTTGTCGCATTTCCCGTGACTATATATTGAATGAACTAATGCCTCAGGCACCATTATGGCTCGGAGAATTGGTGAGCCAACAGATTCTCCCGCGGTGGGGCCCCTGACTCAAGCTGATCGGGATGACTTCTACCATGAGCTAGCCTAGTAATACTTCAATCATTTTCAACACAGGGGTATATTGGAACCAAAATGGGATGCAAATATAAAACCACTTGCTCTATATCATCCATTCCAAAGAAAGAACAAGCACATACGACCACAGGGTGTGGAAAACAGGGCTTCCCGTCCGCTCAGCCGTACTTAAGCCACACGCCGGGAGGTTAGTAGTTGGGTGGGTGACCACCAGCGAATCCCTTCTGTTGTATGTTTTTTGCTCACCACCTTTTTTTTGATTTATTGGATTTAGCGCATCTTGCTACCCTGACATTCAGTCCCTTCAGTCCCTTCAGCCCTGAACATCCCTCCGCCTGAACATCACCTGCAAGCCCGCCTATAAGACTATAACTCACCCAGTTACCCCGCCGGCTAACATATCTCTATTTATTTTATAATTAACCACATCCATCCCGTTGCGGCCGTCACTTAACAGTCTGACAATGAATATTCTCGGAGAATGTATCCCAGTAGACATAGTATGTATGGATTATCTAAAAGGTCAAGATGTTTTTGTATTATATGCAATGGGATATAGGAGAGTTTCTATCTTTATATATAGGATATTATACTTTATTAGCAGTATTATTCTTATCCTTTTTCTTTGAGGCGCAATTTACAAGCTGTAGGATTCTACTTATAAAGTAACAATAAAAGGATACTAAAAGAGAAAAACAAGAGAAGCCATCTAGAATATATATATATTTTTTTCGCACTGGATATACCATATTCCAGATGGATATAATATTATTATTGAATTTTCTATTGAACATTCCCATTAAGCACCCTACAATCACCTCTCAGTGACTTTCAGAAATGATTCCACTCAGGAGAAAGTCATTGCATTATTGGCAAGTCCAATATCTTCCGACGTCGCCACAATAAAACGGCAAGCAATAAATCAGGAGTTCTCGCCAGACTGGAGCATTCGAATAAGATAGTATAGCGCAGCATCCGGATCACTGCCCCGAAGTAACTTATGGAATACTGAAATGGTGTCATAATACTGGTCACCTGAATAGTTGTAGAGTAAACTCTTAGTTAATAAATGCTTTAACTTCTCTATAGTCATGTTCAGTCACCTGCATATATCCGCAGCAATCTCAATAATATTCAGTGCGATTCTACTGTCACTATCCGCGAAGCTGGTTATGTATTAAAGAAAATTATCGTCCAGAAGCTGGAATGACTTCAGCGTCTGGGATTCCACCGAACAATGAAGAATAGCTGTTATATCATTGGTGGTTAGCTTCGTGACAGTAAAAATCCTGCATTTATATATAAAAGTATAGCGAATATTCAATGACGGATTCTCTGTTTCACGCCGATGAGTATAATGCTATTTCTCCGCACGGCATTAAGAAATATATTCTGTTGGGAATATATGATTTAATATATCTCATCGCAAAATATAATAGATGTTTTTTGATCCTTGTATACATCCTATGTAGCCTTCCTAACGATACTTTAATATTCTATCGTCGATGTAGTCGAGCTACTGATTTAATAGAATTTTATTCTTATCATAGGCGCGATAATTCTTGTAATCGTAGTTTTACCGCTTCCTGGGGGCCTCTATAAAATCAGATTCGGAAGATTATCTAGCTTAATCAACCGTCTGAGTGTACTATTGGGCCCGATCAATAGTTCTTGACTAATCATGTCATCAAAGCACCGCAGCTGGACATGTTCAGCTAAAGGTCGCAACGCGAAGATGTAGTTGCTCCGTTATAAGCTTAGTCGATGGTAATCCCGTATCTGGTTTCTTGCGCGCGGTGTTGGGTTCCTATTAAAGGACCTCTTTTTATTTCTGTCCACATCGAGCGGGACTGTTGAATTATAGTTATTCTTCAGGTGATGTTGTTCCGTTGTTCCTTGAGCAATGGCACGACTCTCACGTTGCTCGCAGTCAGTTTCGTTTAAAGTAGAAGATGCTGGACTCTGTAGCTGGGTTGCGATGAATGTCTGGCAGCCAGAGTCGAGGTGTCCGTTGATGTCGGACAGAGCAACATGTTCCTGGCATATGGGACATCTGACCATGGCTGAGATGGGGCTAGCAGATTCCGTCAAATTTTTTTTTTTTTTTTTTTTTTTTTTTTTTTTTTTTTTTTTTCGATCCTATCAAAGGTCCAAACGTCTCATCGCTGCAAAGAGTGAATATAACAGTTATATTATTTATGATGCTGCGTCAGAGGTCTCGGCAAATGACCGGTCGTGTGACTAGGCAGATTTATCCTCGCGCTTCTTTTTTTTCCCTGGAAAGACCATAGGATATCTCACTCACAGAGCACAGGAGGCTGGATGGAAGTAGAGAAAGTTAAAATCTCGCGTTCTGGTCTAAAATGGAAAATGGGCGGATCCCGATGTGGGCCAACAGCCATGGGTATGATTGTACGGAGTATAGCCAAAGTGGGTCGTTCTATTAAGCTGTTCATTATACACAGAGTCAGGCATTCAAAACGATTATATATACCAAGTATGAGGAATCTAAACCGTAACTATTCGAGAAACTTGAAGATCGGCAGTGCGTTACGTTCGATTATTACCCCATACATCTAATATCTAGCGGTATGATTCTCCAACTTTGGGCGGTGATGTTCATTTCCAGACACTTGCACCAAGGCTTCATCCGACCTAGATGCTCCTTTTGTTGATTCAGGCATGGTATCAAGTGCGCCCGTAAAAGAGGCTTCTAGATAGCTTTTTCTATTGACTCTGCTAGTCTCCTTGACCTCTTCTGACTGTTTCGCCATTCCTTCTTTGATAAGCACTCTATCGACACCAAGAACAAGAACATTGTAGAGAAGCAACCTAACTAATGCTACTTGCGTAATTTTCAATAACAATATTGCAGCTACGAATCAGGGAAAACGTCTGTATCTTGGGTTGATGTTGAATCAAACCTCGTCTGGATATCCCTCCACATTCTGTATGCTTCAGAGCCGAACTAAGCAGCCGTGTTTGCCATCCTCAAGATCACATCCTTGTCGCAGAACTCAACCACCTTCTTGACTTTAGACCCATCCTCATTAAAGTACAAGAACCAAGCCATCTCTGCCGGGTACGTTTCTCCGTTATTGGCGTGCACCTCTGCGACAGACGTAAAAGCGGCCCGGCGGGCTTCGGTATCGATGATCAGGTTCGCCATGATGTTGTTTGTGAATTTCAACACCTTGATGTCCTTCCCAAACATCTCCTGATACTTTGCCGTGTCGAAAAAGAAGTCCGCCGGTAGGCCAAAGGCATGGGGTACGGACGAGGGAAGCAGGTACCGTCTGCAGTCCGCTGTGACGTTGCGGTTGATGATGGAGGCGTCGTTCTGGACCGAGCCCTCTTCGTACGCGGATAGGAAGGCTCGTGCTGTAGCCTCTATGCACTGTCTTAAGTTCATCGAGGAGGACATGATGAAGCGAGCTGTTGGGATTCTTCAGAAAGTCGAGTAGGTGAATTTGAAGACAGTGAGTGCCCGAATAGCAGGAAAAAGAATTGTAGACATGCCCCGCGAGGCTTCCTACCTATTTATAATGACATTTTCCCCCTTTTCGGCCTAGTGCGCGTCTCACTAAAGTTAACCAACTGATTCCGGATCTCCCGTGGCTTTATCTTAGCCCCAGTCGCTGACTCTAGTCCCACAAGATAACTCCGGAGTCCCGGGCCTTTACATAATAGTTGGACTTGATAATCAGTAAGTTTAGGTGGGTCCCATGGGGATAGAGAGAGTGAGTAATCCAAATAGGGAAAAAGTGTCATCACAGTGGGTCATGGATCAGGGATTACTAGTAGAATATAATAGTAAAAACCGAGGAAAGGACAGAACATGCCATCAGATTACTTGATTTTAATTGGAAAAATATGCAGGAGAAGAGGCGATATTAGCTTTCGGCCAGCTGAACCTATCGCCAGAAAGCATCTTCAATGGCGATTGGTAAGTCATAGGTAGTCTCCCTAAGTAATGCTCACCTGCAACGAGCCCACGGCGCATTGGAGACTTTCAGTGAGTTGACTATATAAATGAACCACCTTGCTTCTTCTGCCTCGACCTCAGTATCCAACTCCTCCAGAGATCAATATCACACCCTTCCTCCTCGTGCTACCTAAGCAAAGTCTTGCTCCTCATCATCAGCTTTCAGAAATCCCTCGCCAGCGCAATCATGTCACGTTACGCTGAAGCCCACGCCAAGCCGAACGGCCCTGGCGATGCTCGCCCGACGGCCCTGGAAATCATCAAGGACGAGGGCGTTGAAGGCAAGCTCAAGGGCGAGGTCATCGTCATCACCGGTACGTCTTCTGGCATCGGCATCGAAACCACTCGCGCCCTGGCCACCACGGGTGCCACTCTCTTTCTCACGGCCCGAGACGTCACCAAGGCCCAATCCGCCCTCGCTGGTATCTTTGAACCTTCCCGCATGAAGATTATTGAGATGGACCAGGCCTCTCTCTCTTCGGTTCGCATCGCAGCTGCAGCCATTCTCGCCGAAACCTCCAAGATTCACCTTCTCGTGAACAACGCCGGCATCATGGCCATTCCCGACCTGCGCCTAACCGCTGATGGCCACGAACTCCAATTCTGCACCAACTACCTTTCGCATTTCCTGTTCTACAAGCTCTTGGAGCCCGCTCTCCTGGCTGCCGCCTCCGCCGACCTCCCGTCCCGAGTCGTCAATCTCGCTTCCTCAGCCCACAACGTCCACGGGATCAATGACACCGACAACTACAACTTCCAGAAAGGCGGCTACGACCCCAGTGTGGCCTACGGACAATCCAAGACGGCCAACATTTACATGGCGAACGAAATCGAGCGCCGCTATGGCTCGCGCCACCTACACTCCACGAGCGTCCATCCCGGCCTTGTGCAGACCGGGCTGGCCCAACATATGCCCCCGGATGCCTTCAAGGGAATGGGGCACTTGTACCCCATCATGAAGAGCGTTGAGCAGGGTGCGGCAACATCGGTCTGGGGAGCCGTTGGCAAGGCTTGGAAACATGAGGGCGGCAAGTACCTTGTTGACTGTGCCGTAGCAGAGCCGTATGCGGAAGGAGACGACAAGTTCACTGCGCCTGGATATTCCCCATACGCCTATGACGTCGAGAAGGCGAAGAGGCTTTGGATCGACTCGCTCGAACTTGTAGGGTTGCGGGATGAGGAGTAGGGAATCAAGAGAGGCCCGAGGCTCTTCAGTATACTATCAGGCTACACAATTTCCTTCAAGTAGATATCAAGAAAGACGTATAATTCATGATTTTCTACTTCTTAATAGCTCACGTCCAGTCAATCATTAGAAGGACTCATTACCGCCCTAAATCTTGCCATAGAAAGCTTCAATGTCACGTCACACGGGCCCTAGACACCTTCGTTGTCCCCGACTTCATCCCTGAAGCGTAGAGGGACGGCACTGAACTGTTTTGCGCAGGAGGTTGAGATCATGCGACCCAAATCCACAGATTCGTTTACGAAACAACGTCAAGGTCCCAGGCGAAAAATTGTCTTGGCGGCAGGTAGAGATGTTGCAAGAAAGACCGGGGTTCGTCCTTTCTGCCGCCGAAGCCCTCCTCCTACAGGGTTCCGTCTCTCCCATTAAGTGGCAAGCCTGCATCTCCATGGCCTGCTTCCTTCCAATGATTCAGCGAGACGAATAGGCTCCTCTCCTCTCATCCGCCTCCAGCGGTTACTACATTCAACCAGATCGTGGCATCCATCCACGGCCCACGACCACTTGGCAAGGAAGCCGGGGGTGGCCTCCCAGTTCTGCATGTCGTATGGCTCGCCCCAAACAATGAGTCCCTTGTGCCCCGCAGTTACCTCACCCTCATCATCCCCCTCGCAGCGGGGCAGGGCCCACGTAGGTTTAGGATCGGAGACAGTGATCGTGAGGGGCGTGAGTCGTGAACGTGAGACCGTGCAGGGGAGCTGTACATGACGGTTGCGCCTTCGGATGCTACCGCGTTGTCCTGGGAGGGACAAACATCAGGTTCATCAAGGCGCCAGCGCCTAACTTGGAACGGGAGGGACGGGCGGGACGTCTGAGTAGATCCCGGGTCTTGCTCCTTAATCCGCAGTCCTTCAAAGCTTATGAGCTCGGCAGTGGGTGAGGCAATAAGGAACAGACTCACGGCGTGCTCTTTGGTTCTTCCGGTTTTGAATCTTCCTGTGCTGCATCTTGGCCGTCATCTCGGCCTCAGCCTCGGCATCGAGTTGAGTGGTGTGATCACCGACTCTGTTTGTTTCGCCCTCGCCTAGGGCTGAAGAAAGCAGAGCAGCAAAGGGTTCCATTCTCCTATATTACCGAACACCCAGTTTCGCGTTGCTGCTGTTGAAAGATCGCGATAAGCAAATGGAAAAGTAATGTGAACCAGCCAGGCCTGAGGTTGAATGATAGCAGCCGGAAAGACTGCTAGTGGATCAACGGGTGCACCAATAGGATATCAACAAGTCTTGAATTGTTATAAAGGCGAAGGCTGGCACTTTATGTGGGCATAATAATGACTAATACAAAATGGGAGATAACCACACGTATCTCGAGCCACTCATTCTGCCCGTAGCTGATTGCAACATTGGCAACCTAGGCTCAATAATAATGATAATAGCATAGCACTAGCTATATGAATGCATATTCGGTTAACTAGTGGCTGTGTCCATAGGAACCTTGGAACTTCTCCACTATATGTTTTCCGTATCTGGGCAGATCGCGAGGGTCTGTCCCACCTGATGACGACCAAGCCCCACCTCGAGGGTTAACGAGACACCGCGTAGATACTCTTTGATGTAGGCAGCTCTAACTCTACTTGACGCCTCCGCTTCTCAGCCGTCTTGAGAGGCCTGACCTACATTCTGGCTCGAAGAACTAACAGTATCACTGAAACAAACGGCACTTCGGCAGCTAGAATACACACCTCTCATTTCCATGTGATTGGTGAATTAAAGTAAACATGGATTGGATGCTATTAAGTGTGCCAAGTTCGGAAAGGCGCACCAGCTAGCCCATCGGAAGAGGTACTTAAGAATAATGTATATATTGCACTTACTACAATTTCCTAATAATATGTTCGCTGCTGGCCGGGTGTTTGCCTCTATGACTGTGCCACTCTTGAATGCATAATGATGGAAACTCGCAGCGAATGAGCTTCTAAATAGATGCTTCAGAGCAAGAAAATGGTCTGACACAGTCTTTTGTCTATAAAGTGAAGAGACACAATAGGAAAAAAGACAAACAGCAAAGTTCCACTAACCAAAAGACAGCCTTTATATAATTTTCGATCCATCTTGCGAGGTGGAGTATATAATTCCAGGGTCTTTCCTATTTGCCGAAAGAGAGAGCGGGTCCGTGGCCGCGGTAAATTAACCCGCGTTCTAATTGTTCTAAATGTTCTAAATGAGGTGTAAGAAATGAACGTTACTATACCTAAACTACTTACAAATATCCTTGATATCGGCCCTTCAATCATTTTGTGTTAGGGAGACTCGAACTGGCAAAAAGTAAGGTATTAGATAACCTCTCCTGACAAAGCAACTAGTACACCAAAACCTCCTCATCCTTTCCTCCCCCGTCCCTCCATTTTTGAAGCACCTTCTTCATATCCGCCGCGACATTCTGAGCATACTCAGGCCCAGCGGCCCCGGCAGGCAAGTCCGCTGGGTTCCCCCTCACCCAAGCAACAGGTTCTTTGGGAACACCCGCGAATTTCTTCTTAAGTTCTTCAACCTGCTGAGGCTCATAGCCGCGACCGAAGATTACCGCGCGAGGAGGCTGGCTGTAATCGTGGGTTCCGATTTCATTGGGACTCCGAGACTGAGGATCGCGACCTGCAAGCAGATGCGGGAGCTCAGCCTCTGCAGCCTCATATGACAGGATGAAGTGGATGACTGAGGAGCATTAGGTCCATGCTTGGTTTATTTCAGGATTGTATATCTGGAACCTTGGTATTCCGGCAGTAGGTGCTGGGAGATTGATTTCCCCATCGTGGGTATTCTGCCGCAGGCAACTACTGGCACTGGCTGAGTGAATGAAGACATGTTGCGAGAGCTGTACGCTGTGCGCTACGCATGAAGGTAATTCGGAGCATTGGAGACGGAGAATTATGGACTAAGCTGACCTCGATGAATCTATTTATTTTCCTCGTTGCGGCGCGCTCGGTCTTGATGATGAGTGGATGACGTTCGGAGTTCGGACAGAGCAGGACAGTCCGGGCCAATCGTGGCTGTCCACCGATTTTTCGATTATTCAACAATCCCGACGCCCCGACCCCGATGAGTAGAGCAACGCCGTCACGTCCTTTTCGCATCCTCAGATTCTCCATTACATCACAGCATGTATTCAAGATGGTAAAGGGGCCCCAAGAGTAATACTACACCATGGTCAAAGCAATGAATGACGCGCCCGCGCCTCGCAAGAGAGGTCGGCCACGAAATGCGACGGACGATCAGCAAGCTCCCGAGGTGGGCACATCCCCGCAAATACAGAGCAAGTTCGAACTGACTCAAGGAATCCAGCGACGTCGAAGGCAGCTTCGCGTCGCGCAGGAAGCATATCGTAGGAGAAAAGAAACCACGATCGCCAATCTGCAATCTCGCGTACAGGAACTCGAGTCAGGCATCGAAGAGCTCAGCGAGTCGTTCCTTTCCTTCAGTAATCTTCTGTTCGAGGCTGGGATACTTCAAAATCAGCCTCGTGTCACAGCTGCTCTGCAAAAAATTACACAGCAATATGTGTCGCTTGCCAGAAGGGGCTGCGACGAGGCCGAACAACCTGCAGCCCCGGCGGATATGTCGCCGCCAATATCTTCCACGCTTACTGATACACAAGATACAATCTCAAATTCCAATATGCTCATAACGCAACTTGATTCATTGCCAATAATCGGTGATACTTTCCCGTTCTTGTCGGACCTCGCGGCTCAATGGTCTGGATTATCACAACTACCCTCTACGCCACCCTCCCAAGAACAAGCAATTCTGCCGTTCGGATTAGCCTTGTCGCCTCCGAACATCTCCTTCTCATCCATCGCTAGTCCTGCTCCTGCCTTGAATTCCCCGACCATACTGTCGTCCGACGATTCCTTAAAGCAAGGGCGCTGGACACTCTCGCACCTTCTAGTCCGACAATGCTGCGAGACTGGATACTATCTATTAACAAGCTTACCTGGAGACGATTCAAGGGTCAAAGCAATCTTCGGCAAACAATTGGCCATTAACGAGCGCAACTGTTTGATCTCCGGATTCGACGCCGTCATGCACGACGACATAGGAGACACGATCGAGTTGAGGACAAAAGTTCTTAATTCAAGGAGGGACAGCTACTCGCCTGAACGACTCGCCCTTTCCTCTCGTACGTGGCAAATTGTCAATGAGTCAAGTGCTGATGAGTGGATGGATGCGAGTGGTGTGCAAAGGCTGCTACAGCAGCGAGGGATTCGTTTTCAGGACCCGAGCTCGCCCCTCTCCAGTCTCCCGTTTAATTCGGCTCCACAGCTCAACGCAGTGAGCTTCACTAAATGTGAGTAATGCCGAGATCAATGGTTTTTTGTGTCTTCTTGTCCGTGCATTTACTGACCTTGTCGTAGATCTTTCCCTCTGTACTATCTGTCTCGGTCGCGGGCCAGCGTTCCGAAAGCGCGATGTTGAGAATGCCATTCGCCTTGCAACTCTTAATGATCCTTGGGCGTTCAACCCTATATGCGAAATACCATCACTTATGTATAATAACAATATTTGTCTACCAGAGATATAATCTCCGCTTACTTTGCATGATGCGACGATTAGAACCAGGATCCCGCTATGGAATTGAGGAAATCCTGCCATTGCATATGATCTCCATGTCCGCGAAATTCCTTTTTAAAAAGGTGCCCTTTTGCATCCCAGCAATTCATTTCGACTTTCACTTTAGCGTCTAGGGACTGGCCTTTAAAATCCAGGGGCCGGACTCCAAAATCAGCGATATTTTCCATTGACGTTTTCTCCCTTTTTGGGTCACACAAATGCGCAGGCACATTTCTAGTCACGTCGACGCCAAATAGAGACTCTGTCTTGGATCACCCCATTCTTATCCTTGCCCACAGTGTGTGTGCGCTCTGGCTGCCAGTACGCCACTCTCTCCAGGCCCGCCTTGCTGGGCTCTCGCAACGGGTCCGCGTCAACAAGACCCTTATCGTTGTAGGAGATCTCCTCACCGGGGTGGCTCAGATGCTCCATATAGGCCTCGGAGGGAGAGGCAAATGGAGGGCCGGGGGCCAGGGGGTCCCTATGACGAGGAGACTCCAGACAGATCAGATTGCCTGCAGGGAAGGGAGCAAGGAGCTCGGTGTGTCGCAGAGCCCATTTAGGACGGAGCTCTGGGTTCAGAGCACAGAAAAACTAGATAATTATTAGAAGGAAAGTCCAGAAAGACAAGAAAGAGGGAACCATCTTGCGGTTCCGTCTGTAGGACGCAGAGTACAAGTGGAGAGAGAGAAAACAATAGCAATGACGGAATGGAGCCCTATACATACCGTGTAATCATAAATAACATCAAAACCATTTCGAGGTACTCCAATTTCCTTCAACCAGGCGTCATCAAAGAAATCCCCCTGGACGAAAGTAATCTTCCCTTTGCCAACTTTCTCATCTCGCACGCGGTACTGGATATTGTTCACCTTCTCCTCCTCCTTCTTGCACGCTTCGACAGCCGCGGCGCTGCACTCCAGGCCATAGGCGTCATACCCAAAGCTCGCGAATAAGAGCACGTCGACTCCACGTCCACAGCCCGGGACTAGGACCTTCCGCCTCTTACCATCCGGGCCGATGGGCCCACCAATGGTGCCAGCTCGCTCGACCAGGGTGTCTTCTAGCGCGGGGTTGGGGAAGCCTCGATCCCAGGGCAGATAATCACCTTTGTCCCAGAGGAGGTCCCAGCCCTTAAGATAACTGTCCCCTTGATGTTTGGCCAAATATGCTTGAGCATCCTTGAACTTATTGTCGGTAGGAGTCGTCATGGTAATGGGGTGGCGACGGAATCGGGGGAAGTTAAGAGATGCTCGGTCCGGCGCGACTGATAAACAGGGTTTAAGAAGTTAGGAATGATACAGAGTGGTCAGAAACTACTATTGACTGCACAGGGAAGTAATTGATACCGGGTACTTATAGCTCTCTACACCCGTAATTGAGTGCCTTTTACTCTGCGATTAAAAATCATTAGTTATCGATGTCTTTATCTGTTTATTCATCATACCGAGAGAGGGCTGTTGAGAAAAGTGGAGGTTTCTACTACAGTGGCACGGGATTGGCCCAGGCGGGAAATCTTGGGCCCACCGTCGTTGTCCAAGATATCACGCTCCTCTCCATTTCCAGTCACCTTTCTCTCCCGGCATTTTTTTTCCCTTAAGGCTTAAATGTCATTGGGGCTGACTACAGCAACCCACACTCGCTCAAATCTGCCATGCAAAATCAGGACGTTATGAGTAGTGGAGAAGGGAGTAAGTAGTAGTCAGTGGCGGTGGCAAATTAAACGTTCTAATGAAGCCGACAGCTTAATAACCTAATTTGGGATTATAAGGTTAGACCCGCCCAAATGGGGCAGGGGGGCTCCAGCAATCAAGCCTGGCTAGTTATTGCATCTACTCCGTAATGGGTTAGTGGGTTGGTTAAATTTAGCCAGAGCTGGGGATGTGTATAATAATCACTCCGAGCGGACATGCCTGATGATCTAGGAAAGTTGGTTGAGAGTAATCTCCGTAATACTCTGCTGGAGAGACAGAATTTTTCAGCCTTAACCCAGAAGATAGTATTTTATTCTTTGGTTACTAGATTCTTCTCTAAGTATTTCACGGTGATATAGCTCTTCCTAATCCCTCCCATGTTATAGAGCCAGCGAGCGGAGCGCCGCAGTTGAGTTACTATTATTAAAGTGACTTTCGATCTTCTCAATCACATCGTCACTATCAAAGAATCTGATCATCCGTATGGGCGGGAGCACATAGCAAGGGAGCTGAGCGGTATCTCGAGACACGTGAGGCGAGAAAGAGAGATATGAAAGCCGTGAACTCAGATCACCCTGGTACTGTCTGATATTATTATAACTATTATAACAAGAGAAGGCTGACTACCCCGAGAGAGAAAAATCCCTACACTTATGCGGGAAGGGGGTTGGTACATCTTCTTGGTTTTATTTGCACAAATATGACTTCCTACTAGCTCGGGTATATAGTATCGGTTGGGTAAACAACGGCCTGAATTGTCCTGAAGAAAGACTATATAGAGCGGCAAGCCGCCCACGCAGCGCCTGGTGAACACCACCATACATTTTGCTCTGAGAGACAGCACTCCATGGGAAACGATAATATAGTCGGGGTGGGGACCAAACACCAAGTTCCCGACAACTAGATGCCTGTTTCGTATCAATTCAGGAAGTACCAGAATCTGTCCCATACGATCCAGCTTCCCTTCGGCATTCCGAACAATCACAGCATGGTGCAGAGTAAACTCGTTGGCTCCTTGCGGACGCTTTTCCCAAGTAGTGAGGGTCCAAAACATCAATTAGATCCAGGATAAAATGCTGCACACGACGCAATCTACCTGCAGGTAGATGCTGAGAGGGATGATGGGTAGATCTTCTGTTCACAAGTGCAGTAATTCCTTCTGTGATAGGATTGAAGTAGTCCTTAAAAGGAGCATCTGCAGACTTGAACTTTTGGATAAATTGTGAATATTGTAAGCAAAAAAGCTCTCCATCATCAGAGACAGTCATTATCTCCCCAATGGCCAATTGCTCCCCGCGCCATAGCATGAAGTCACTATCATCCTTTCCGTACATATCGGTGCTGAATGACTTCTGAATAGCTTCGATGGCACGTGAGAGTTTCTGGTTGCTTTTGTTTGATGAAAAACGAAGGAATTGGACTTGCCGACGAAGGATATATGTCCAAGAAAAAAACTGGCCAATCAAAAATGCAGTGTAGACATCAACCAAGTCTCTCCGAGCTTTGTTCTCATAGTAGCAGAGAAAGTCTTGCTCGAGAATGTTGTAGAGTCTCGATTGCAGTTCCATCGATGCCAGCAAAAGGGGATCACGATATTCCGCCACTAATTTTTCCGACTCGGAGTGCCGTTTCAATCGGTCACTATGAAGTGTGACTATGGCTGTGATCCCTGCTGACATGATTGATCCTACCAGAGAGATCACTGCAATGACTATCGCGGCGGTGTCAGCCATAACGTATATAAGCAGACCTCGGGATGACTTTTATAATATGTCAAGGAGTAGAAAATCAACATGTTTAAACACACTAAACGGCCACTGATAACAAGCGACAAGTATGTTTTCAGACAAAACTGTGAAGCTTCTACCGGGCGCCGCTCTATATTTGCATGGGATCCTGATCAAGTTAATATGGTGCAGCCATAGTACAAGCCTTTTTAGATTACGAGAATCTAGACAGTTCCATGTAGTCATACATATTTGGTAACCAAGGAACCACATGTGTTCTTTCCATGGGGCTACCAAATTCTGGATTATCGTATTGGAGCTACAAATGTAGAAAATATTCTGGTAAGTAGGACGTAGGGGACTTCATTCTCAAAGGAGATTGGCTTACTGATCGCAAAACTACTAAGCGATTGGCCAGTATCGCAGTGCCACCTATGTTAAAATTGTGTCAAATACTACGAGAAGCGCCACGTGAAAGTTCGGTCCGTGTTGACCAGCCTCTTTCATTGATCACACGTCGTTATGGATGCACCCTTGGTCTGAGCTCACAAATTCAACTCTTTTTTTTTGTGGTCTTTCCAATTTGCTTTTCTGCGTTTCAGGGCCACAGACGCGCCCGCTTTCCAGTAGTTGTTGGCGCTTGAGCGGAAGGGGTTGAGTTGTACGACGCCATAGTGGGCGCGATTTATTTTGAGGTCTGTAACAATACATGGACAAATATCTTACTAGGTCTTATTATTGCTAGGCTTGATTTCAGTCAACCTCGGAACACATCTGAAATACAGATCTAACTATTCTCAGATTAGTGTGTCGTGTATTTCCGGCATCGAAGGCTCGCAAGTAAGGCAGCGCCGAGCAGAATTTATGAAACCCGTACTCATGCTTTCAACTTTTATCCTGTTCCTAGAAGATCACCGCTGCACATAGGGTAAGTGTTCCTTGATTTTAACAACGAATAGTAAAATTCTCTAGTTGGAAAGATATCCCTTATACTATTCTGTATGTTTTTTGCACTGTTTGATTTCTCTGTTCTTTGTTGGGTTTACTAGTATGAACCATACCTCGCGCGTTTCTATGGGCCGCTTATATTTTGTGATCAGTGCCATTTTGGTGATTCCGAGTGAACTGGAACTTGTAGTAGTACAGGTGGGAGCGGGCCCTGGAAGCTGTTTCAGATTGACCAGCCTGTTGATTCCGGCGCCACTACCAGTGCTGGATGAATTCCCTAGCACAAGCCGCCGCAGTAATTGCTGCATATTTCTGCCATAATTTATTCTTATGACTATCAGCGTAGTCACAGACTCCCTTAATAACAACACAAGGTAGGGCATCCCAAGCACCTGCTCCTTCCATCTCAAATGCAATGACATTCTCGTTCTCTGCAATCTGGTCCCGATGTGTAGCGGACTTGAGAACGCTATCTCCAGATGCTATGAGACCGACATGAACAAACGGTTGGTTCCTTTGATTTTGCCTATGTCGTTTTACGATGCGTATATCCTCGCAGCCGGTCGCTTGACAGTTCAATTCCGGGGCAATGTCGCAGACGGAGTCGTCATTATTCCAGCAATCTGCACACACTCGACATACCTGGTGATTGTGGTGTTTATGACGATACCATGATGGGAACAACCTATCTTCCACATGTCCAGGATAGGATGTCACATCGTCGTCCAAGTTGTCGAGGAAGGCGGTTATCTTATGCTGGGCGTTCTCTCGGTGAAACTGAGTTTCTAGTGCCGCCAAAACCGAGCCAATTTGTGGGTTCGGTCTACCTAATGCTGCTTCCATTTCAATCTTCCGTTTAAATCCGTCCGAGTACTGTCGTCCATGATCATATTGTATGACTCCTTTGCTAATCACAACATCACCAAGTAGGATCTCCTCCTTGTTGTGTTTGAATGGAACGCCCCCGCACACCCCAACAATGAGAGCCAGCGTCACCTTGGTAAAACTCATGGCACACGCGGTAGCGACGTTGGCGGCAGGTGCTTTGCCAGAGCGTGGAGGATGAACCAAAACAACATTTCGACCACGCATAACGCCCACAGAGTAAAAGTTGGGATCATTCGTTGCCTTGCCGTACAATTCTTTGTCCCAATGATGGTCGAAAGCAGACAAAACTGCATCGGCTTCTATAGGGAGTGCACAAATGATGGCTACGTCGAAGCCATCTCTAGTCTTCGGTCTCACAGGCTCTTGCGTGTCGGATGGTTGACAATGACTTGCCTTGTCATTGATACGCAGGGTTTCGTCGCTAGAGAGATTCTGCTGGGAATATTCCACGGAACCATTGGCCTCTGGTATTGTGACTAAGCTTGACACATGTCCTGGTGGTTTGCTCCACTTTGGTTCTGTATTCCGCATTCGTTCACTGATTTCATTTGAAGGGGGGTCAATTTTCAACTTGATGATTTTGCAGACTCCCTGATCGACAAGGTCGCGGCGCTGGAGCCTATTTACTTCATCCCACGTCCACTTTGCCCCATTCACAAGGTCTTCTTCTAACGGTCTGATAGCATTCTTGCAATAGACATCCACAAATTCCGAATCCGTGAAAACAGTTTCTTTGCCCATGTCGGCGAAGCGAAGGAATGACGTTTGATCCGTACAAAACCTGACGGTCCGCATTAAACCAGTCCCCAAATGGAACCGACGCTCACACTCTTCCCACAGCTTTTTTGCAAGCCTAGATGGCTTGTTCCTCAGTCCAGCGAAAGATGGCTGACCGTAGATGTCATGAAGCTCGTCTCCTAGCTCCATTTCGGCTAGCGCGATTCCGAGGGCAAGGATTGTCGGAAACGGGTGAATACTGTAAGGAGGCCGTCGGCTAGCCTGGGGACCGCATTCGCTATCAATTGTCTTAAAAGCCGTCGAGAGGAATACTTTGTCAAACAATGGGTATGGGTAGCCATTCTGTACTTTGCAGAAGATGAAGATATCATCGATGGATAGATACGAACTGACCCATGGCCCTTCCAGAAGGTGCAGAAGAGACCGCGCTAATGTCAGCCCCAGAACTCGCTTTGCTGCATATGTGGGCTTCACAATCTCCAGCAACTTTCGAAGGCTTTCAAGAGATCTTCCAGTACACTCTTCCGCCAGCTGTAGGACCTCAAGTGGCTGCCCTAATTCCAGACCCCAAAGTCGGTTATTGTCGTCCTTCGCCAGTTGTAAGCAGACGTCTTTCGAGGCTTCGTGATCTACAAGGCACGCAAGGGTGTTCGTTTCAATCATAACACTGGATTTGTGTTAGCTACTGACTTTTCTGAGAAGGCAAGGGCTATCGAACTCGGTAGGAAGCCAACGAACCCGGCACTCCTGAATGATATCTGAACCCGCCAACAGGATGAAAAAGCTATCGCGCGACGGATCCGGATCTCGAGAGCTCCACTGGGGGTCAAGGCAGAATTTTGCTTCCACACAATGGCCTAGTTTTCTGCCATGCTCATGCCCTTCCAATTGACAAGGCCAATTCTCGTGCAGTGTGTGGTAGAGATTCTGCGACAGATAGTGAATGCTGGTCTCACCACGAATGGCCGCCTCGCTGATCGACGGGTTCGGCTGTGCCTTTTCAGTGAAGTCTTCGTCATCATCAAAAGATTGACCGCGATCGAGTTGTTCTACCAGCTTATTGGCCAAGTTGGTCAGATCTCGAATAACTCGATAATCATCAATTATGAGCTCTCCTATCCGTAGCTCTCGTTGTAAAGAACTTTGAAGAAGCTCAGACACCAGTCCAAGATATGGGTAAGAAGTTTGTGTCCAATTCTTCATATACACTTTCGGGCTGTCGGTCCAACTGGTGAACAACCGAGGCCACCACTTGGAGAGCCTAGGAGGTTGCGTTTCTTCTCCTGCCTTTAACTGCTGATACTTTGTGTTCACGAAGTCCTTGCGGAAAGCCCTGTCCAACGCTTCCGCCATGTTCTCGAATGTCCGCCGTAAGTTTGGCTCTTCGGAGAGGGCCACAGAAATATCTACATTGTGTATCTCCAGAGCCATTATAGCCAGTGATACCTTCAGGTCGCGGTACAATCGGGGGGAGTGTCTGAAGGTCCCCCCTAACGCTGTAATGACATCTGAGACTAAACAGACCAGGTCGATGTCTGCTGAGCGATGAGCCATTGTGGGAGGTATACCTTAGCGAATGTCGCTGAATAGTGTAGTGTGTTGTTGTCAGTGAACACTTAGGATTTGTCAGCTTTACAGGTGACTGTTAACGTTAACTAAACTGCAAAGATCCTGGCCTCTTTAACCCCTCATCTAAAAGGATTCTTTGCCCTTTCGGGTTTAGCGCTTTGACGAGTAGACGCCCAATTGGTCCGTGCTTCCTGACTCTCATATTGGCAGACGACATCCCCCACTCCCTTCCCCCATTAGTTTGATCTTATTCCTCTCAAAATCTGGAGCAATATACCGAGCGACGCCGCCAATATACGACATTAAATCACTCAGTCACAATGGCAATTGCATCCAGGGCTGCCGAATGCGCCCAATTATTCGACAAGTATGCGAGGACACTGGACGGGGACGAGCTGCTCAAGCAGGACATGGAAAACGAAATCTTCCGGTTCAACCTGTGGGCAGCAAATAATTTCATACTGACCCCAGGTCGAGCTTCGATGGACTGGAGATTGCGGAATGCCCCATTACTGCAATCGACGATGGCCGAGTTGCTGGATGACTTGAAAGCTGACCTTATCAGTATGTCATATGCCTAGAGCTTCATCCTGATTCGATGTCTTTTTAATATCAATATATCCCAGACCAGTCTAATTTTCCATTCAATTCCACCATTCCTACTGGAATGCTATATGAACTTCCCCTTCATGCTGTCAGTGAGACGCTGGATGGCCTTTTCCGCTTGTCTCGCGCCATCCGTCGCTCGGGAATTCTCCGCAGATACGTCAAAGTTGGGAACTATGTTGAGTTTGATGAGAATGGCGTAAATCTGACAGAAGCGTTTAGAAACGGTGTAAAGACGCTCATAGAGTTCCGCATGAAGGAATCCAAGTCGAGCAATGGCCTGCGTGAACGCATTATCAATACCGTCTGTTTACGCCAGCAATATTTTTCTTACCTGAAAGCCAAGAAGGCCACAAACGCTCCAATATCAGGGGCTGACCAGAGCCATCAATCCACTCCAAGGTCAGCACTCAGGGCCACAGCCAGCGTTACGGGTTCCCTTACGTCGAAGGCACAAGGAGCTGCGAGACAGCAATCATCACCTATGCGAAGGCCTGGCCCGTCTATCATGACAGCGACAACAGCTCAACCCGATCGAATTCCTAAGGCTTACTCTGTAAAGTCGGCCCATGAACAGCAGACCTATGATGTGGATTGTAATGATGCGGATATCCCTCCACCACCAAACGTGTCTGGCAACCGCAAGGAGTCAGAGTGTCCATACTGCTTTCTGGCTTGTTCTAAAGAAGAGCTGAGCGGAAGAAGGTGGAAGTGGGTGCTCTCCTAGCCCAAAGAGCAGAATCACTAGCTAACCGTTGCGAAAGGCACCACATTATTCAGGACCTCATGCCATATATTTGTGTCCTGGAGCCTTGTCCTACCCCAAATTCTCTTTTTGAGTCGGGCAAGGACTGGTTGAGTCACATGAAGAACCAGCACCCTGTCAGTGGTTGGACCTGTGTCGATAGCACACACGATACGACATTCTTCTTTCAGTCAGAGTCTGGCTTCAGGGAGCATTTGCATCAATACCATGAAGACCAATTCGACGACGACGATATCGATGATATCGCGACCGCATGCTATCAAAAACTACCCGACGATATCATCATACGGGAATGCCCTTTCTGTCCTACAGTGCAGAAACTAGAACTAAAGCCGAAGGATATGATAAATCATGTCGCAAACCACCTTATTTCGCTGGCACAAATCTCTCTTGCAGGACATATAGATGACGGGCGGTCGCAATCAGCATGGTCCGGATCAAGCAGGGACTCAAGTTCGCTTCCAGCCAGTATCGGATCTCTTCCGGAACGATTACACTCGGAATTTAGAGATGACGATGAGACTGAATATCTCGCCTCCATATCAGGTGAGGTGATTCCAGATGCAGATGAGGAGCTGATTTATGCCTTGTGGCAGAAAGTCCAAAAACCACAGGACGATCCATCACTGGATTTGACACTTCGCCACTTCATCGCTCAATCTGGAATGCAAGCGAAGGTGACCACAGAAGGCGCCGTTGTGTATGTAATCAAACTGAAACTAGGGTACTGGTACTGATGATTTTCCAGGGGTAGTAATGACTTAGATACGTATGACCTTCAGTGCTAAATTATTGCACTGTACTTCTACTGATATCATGTCTTGCAGGGGGCAGAGCTCCGAGAAGGAACAGGCTACGGCACCCGAGCTGGACAGGAGCAGCGAAGACAGCGCGGGTGTACTACAAGACACAGCTAGAGAAGGCAGTCTAAAGATTGTTGAGATGTTTGACGAGGAGGGAAACCCAAGGTTGTTTGATGAGATTACGGATGATGTCCCGCCGTTTCTGTGCCAATCAGACTCAGGTAAGTGAGGCAGCGGAGAACATAAGACCGATGTCGCATTAGAGGAATAAGGGGAAACGAGGCAGGGGAGCGCCTCGCACATATGGGAAGCCAGTTGACTGATCGATTCCTGATTTGTAGAGATTTACGACAAGTTTGAGGAACTCGAATGGGAGGAAAGGGTGCGTCTGAATGAAGGCATGCTGACCAACGATCCTGCCCATCCCTACGCCCTTGAACAAGATCCCGAAGTCAGCGCCCGCAATCGATATGACAATGTACAGGCATGGGCCAACTCCCGCATTCATCTGCGGGTGCCCGAGGGCGAATGTGATTTTATCAACGCCTCACCGATCATACTGAGGGACTCGGTCACGCAAGAGGAGAGGACATACATTGCGACGCAGGTACGTTGGCAAATTCATTGGCATGCTTGATGAGCTTGCTCTAGGCGAGCATTTAAATGCCTCTTTCTCGCAATGCTAAAAATGACCTCTTTGTCACTCGGCAGGCCCCTATAATTGGCTATCTCTCGCACTTTTGGCATATGGTTTTCCATGAAAGCAAAGATGTGGCTGTCATTGTCATGTTGACGCAGACCTTCGAGGCTGGACGGGAAAAATGTGCACAGTACTTTCCTCTGCACCTGGACCAGGCTTCGATGTTCCTGGGTGAGAAGTCTACTGAAAACCCATTTCCAGAGGGGAAGGCGGAAACAATACAGGCTAAAGAGGTCACCCCCGCTGAGCCTGCTGCTGTTGACCAGCGTGACGCCGAGGACACTGCCTTCGAAGAAGTATCCGAGGCCACCACGGAGATGACTTCGACTCCCGCGGCCGAGAAAATTGAGACAGCAGAGGCGGAAGGAACTTCTGGATCCACCATTGTTGGTTACCCTGTTGCTGAGGTGACTGTCAACGAGGAATCTCCAAAGGAGTCAAACAGAAACACTACTGCTCAGGAGTCAGGTGCATTAGTGACTGATCCAAACAGCCAGGAGGAACCCCCCGACAATACTGGCAAAATTACCTTGTTAGAGTCAACGTTTGATGTCAAGTCTCGCTCGGAGATTCGCAAGCTCGAGTTAACTATCGGCTCAGAGACGAAAATCGTGTGGCATTTTCTCTTTGCAGGCTGGCCAGAATATTCCAAGCCCGAAGGCGACGATTGCGAGGCGCTCCTTGAATTGATCAGATTATCAGCTTCCAAATCGGGGCCTCAGAATCCACGTGTGGTCCACTGCAGCTCAGGAGTCGGCCGCACGGGAACTTTCATCGCCCTTGAGCATCTCCTCCAAGAGCTTGAATCGGGCCAGTTGCTGCAGCTAGCCGATCCCGAAGCCGACCCTGTCTTTGACACGGTTAACCAGATGCGCGAGCAACGCATGATGATGGTTTACAACGTGAAGCAATTTCAGTTCATCTATGACGTGCTCCGAGAGCAAACGGATATCAAACTGGGTAAGGTTCGGCCACGAAACAATGGATCACTTGGGAGCCAGATGGAGGAACCACGACCAGCCAAGCTCGCCAAAATAGGCGATCAGGCCAATAAAGTGCCCGCATCGTGAGGATCGTAATCGCCGCAACTCAGACCTTTTACAGAGAGAGATATGACCTTGATCTGGAAGGCAAATCAGTGTGTTAGGTCAATTTCGCCGTATTGGCTCTCCCTAAAAGGCGCTCTACTTCCTCTCTCTCCAGCCGTTCTTCCTCCTCATAATACTCCATCTCTCTCGCGCCTGTTTCTCTTTCTCGGAGTGATGCGGAACTCGACGATTGTTTCCTCCATCTCTTGTCGGAACCAGTAATCCTAGCGGCAAGGTTGTAGTCAATACAGCGGGTGGGCACCATTTGCCCAGGAGAGCGTCATGGGACAATACACATGTAGTTAGATGTTTACCCGCTTACTCACCCTCACTTCCCTCAAGCCAGCAAGGTGCTAAGAAGATCTTCTTTTCTACTTCCACTGGTTCTCAAGAGCTTGTATTCTGCAAGCTTTATGTGAACGTTTCGAGGTCTAATCAGATTGGATTGAGTATTGCTCAGCTCTTGATATAAAGAGATCTTTTAAATAGAGTAAATCTACTGAAAATTGTTGAAAGAATTACATATATGCAAACAGTCAAGGTAGTACAGATAAGTAATTGCAAAAGAGATAAAACTAGAGGACAGAGTACTCACGAGAGAATATATGGTAGCCACCGCCATACTTATGCTGTTGTAAGTTTTTATTTATTTACTTATTTATTTACTTATTTATTTACTTATTTATTTTGATTTATTTTTTGGAAATGGCATTCTTATACTCAGCGTTAGTATTCCCCTACATATATATTAGATAGTTAATAGAGAGTGGGATTATATGTGTAATATATAGTATCAATATCATATCCTACTAGAAGAAAAGTAACTTAGACAAAGGATATTATAAACCACGAAGGATATCAACAACCACAACAGAAATAACAATGTACCAATATCATTAAGCATTTATAATATGTATGTTATCACTTAGGACCATTCTCTATCGATATATTAACCTCCCGATAAATCGCATTCTCACTAAAACGCGACTGAGGCAGATGTGATCCAGTCCCCTCCACCCGAGAATGCAGCGCTTCGGTATCCTCATCCTGACTCTGGACCGGCTGCGATGATCCCAGAGTGCTGAGTTTGTAATTATGTCGACGCTTATATCCAGAAGAGGACTCGTAGTAGCCTGTAAACTGGCTCTTGCGTCCGAACAGGTTCGTGAATATAGGACGCATCGGCGGCACGCAGCCGCAGATGATGATCACGAAGAGTTCGGATCCGGACCAGACATACAGGTTGTAAGTTTGCCCTGTGAGGAGTCAGAGTCAGTGACTACCGAGAGAAAGAGGTAGGTTAGGAAAAGGGGGAGGGAGGTGTACAGGTCAGGTCAGAACGCTCTTTCAATCCAGCGAGGTATTGGATTTTGACAAGGCCAAAGGCTGCAGCTCTAGAACAAAGAAGTTAGTATGATCTATCAAGGAGAAAGAGATCAAACTATAGAATACTAACAATGGTCCAAGCCCAAGAAGGGTACAGGTGGCAATCCGCTGCTTGAGGGTAAGACTCGTCCGCCAGATAATCGGGATGGGGAGAGCAGCGAGGACAAGGTCTACCAGCACATTCCATGCTGTAGGCAGCGCTATCAGCCAAATAGTCCAATGGTACGGACGACGACAACCTCCTGGGACATTATCGGCAACATACCTGATATGAAAATCGCAAAGTTCGCCTGTACATTCGTGTTCCAGCAGGTATGGGGAATCCAAGGCTCCCATAGTGCGCGGGGAGGATCACACTGCACGAAGCCGAAGAGGCAGTCCAAGCCGCAGAAGATGGTGGTAGAGACCATTAGGAACCATAAGAGCCATTTCATCCAGTTATCATTCGGGCCCAGAATCCGCATAATCTGTAGGGCCACCGAGCTCTTGCCAGTCGCGAAGCCAAAGATACCCCATACTTGAGTGATCCAGTTGAACTTCACGACTAAGAGTTGTTGATCGGTTGTCAAATAGTAGAGATGTCGGCAACCTCCTTGGTCGGCAAGGTAGGTCACGAAAGCAGCCAGAGTGATGAATAGGATCTGAAGGAGGGAAGAGGAGACATATTAGTATAGTGCGACAAGGGCTATAGGAAGGAAATGGTGTGCATACCAGGGTAAAGACCATCATATAGTCATCAGCGCCAAAGCCATTGATCAGTTTCCGGCCATAGAGTCGCAGGGCGACCGCCAAAATGGCGAAAGATGCCTCGGCCCAATAAATGGCCACCAGAGCAGGGCCGCGATTCTGATCACCGCCAGCCGGTGGTGCGCTCATGCTGAATGCTTTTCTTCCTGCCTCGCGACCGGGGCTGGTAGGGGCGACTGATATGGGCTCGGCTTGTCATCATAGCGAAAGGAGGGGTTTTCACGCATATAAGCATGCATCCATGAACAAGGCGCCCCCACAGGCGTAGACGTGCAGCTGCAAGATGCAGTCAACCTCGTCAATTTGTGGTAGTGAGTCCGATCGACTTCTGTGGCTGTATCGGACTCATGTACAATCTTGTACCTGTCTGGGGGCCAAAGTGAGGAGAAGTACCTGCTGTGAACATGTTTGGTCCGAAAAGGGATTAATCACAGGACGGGATAGCCGAGGGAATATTACCGCTGAGATTATCAGCAGCAGTAGCGTGCTGCTGATACTTCTGTACGCTTTTCTCACTAATTTACTAGCGGGCTGCTCGTCGTCTGCCGACATTCAGTGAATATGGTTCGTTGTTCGTCAACCCCAGTGGCTGCGCTGGCTGGAGACCAGCAACTGGAGCGCGAGCCGTGAACAGACGTGGTCTAAGGCTCCGCCCGTAAGAAATTAGTATGAATTAGGGGGGATTTTGCGTAGCGGAGCGGCCAACTCAAGGCTGCAAAGGCTCAGCATCATTGCTTTCCGTGGCTTAGGGTCTCCACCCCCCGTCGATCGGATTATCCCGTCTGTATTATCGTTTGCCGTCAGTGCTGTTGCAGCCCCCAAGTCCACTCCACCGTACAGATTCATGCTTGGTTTTACAATTGGAGTTTAGTCTACCAGGGAAGTCGCAGGGGCACCCTGGAAATCCAAACGTACCTTGCTGGAGGCGGCATTGACATTAACCGCTTAGAGGTTCTCTCTTTGTCTTCCAGCACAAATCCAGCATCCAGGATGCCCAATGTGATGTTTGCACCTTGCGTCCAGTGCGATCTTCACTGTAGTTAAATAGTATCAAGCCTGCCCTACTCAGGCCTCATTCTACCCCATAGGTTCTCAATATTGAACAGCCACCAGTAACTCCGAAACCCAGCAACATACGAGCGAACAAGGAAAGCCATGGAGGCCCTAGTGGAAGAAGTCCGAAGACAGGCCAAGTCTGGCGATGAGAAAACGCGCAAGGATATCTTGGACTCACTGAGCAAACTGTATGCTTCTATCGAGACTCCAGATGATACTGTTCAGCGCTTCACCTTCTACGTATGCCACCGCACCTGCAATTCCTCGCCAAGTATAGTTAACAATATTCCCTCACCAGAATATGCAATTGGCTTGTATCCGCACCGCAATCGATCTAAAGCTATTCGAGCTCTTAAATCAGGCTGATGGCCCCCTCACTGTGGACCAGCTGAGTAAGAGGACAGGAGCCAATCCAGTGTTTATGGGTATGTACTTACTCCCTCACAAGTGGGAGGTCTCGGTTTAATCTAACCGAACAGGCCGGTTACTGCGTTATTTGGCTTCCTACCACGCAGTCCAGGAGGTTGCCCAAGATACCTTCACGGCGTCGAACATCTCTAAAACATTTTCCCAGCGTGGATTCCAAGCTGCTGTTGGCCACCTGTATGTAGTACCCCCCTCCCCGAGTCTCTCACAAAGGATTTGAGTTAATGACAGCCTTGCCATGCAGCTTTAACAATGCCGGGCCGTCCATCCAAGATCTCCCAGCCTTCCTGAAAGAGAACGGATACCCCGATATTCAGGACAATGTAAAGACACCTTTCCAGAAGGTCATGAACACGGAATTGCCGGCGTTTCTATGGCTGCAACAACACCCGGAAAATTTGGCATTTTTTAACGAACACATGAAAACCAATCGATTTGGCATGCCCACATTTTTGGACGTCTTCCCAGCCCTCGAAAAGGCCGGTGGATTAAGCGCCGAGCGAGCCCTTTTCGTGGATATTGGTGGAGGGTTCGGTCAGCAGGCCATTTCCTTTCGGGAAAAGTACAGCCAACTCGAAGGCCGAGTGATTGTTCAGGACCTGGCCCCGACTACGGCCAACGCGACGCAGCATCCTGGCGTAGAGTTTATGGCGTACGACTTTTTCACTCCGCAGCCAGTCAAAGGTACGACCTCCTCCAACTCCTTACCCTGTAGTATACAACATTGACAGGCGGACAGGGGCGAAATTCTACTATTTGCGGAATATCTTCCACGATTGGCCAGATCACAAGTGTCTGGAGATCTTGCAGAATATCAAGGATGCTATGGCCCCAGACTCTTATATTCTGATTGATGACATGGTCCTACCCAATGTTGGCGTTCATTGGCAGCAGGCCCAATTAGACATGCTCATGATGGCGGCCTTGGGGGCTCGGGAGCGAACTCAGGAACAGTGGAACAAGCTGTTACAGAGCGCAGGGCTGAAGATTAACAAGGTACACACGTATACGGAGAGTTTGAAGGATAGCATTATCGAAGCCGTTGCGGCATAATGCAGAAATACATGCTGCCGCACGGTACTATGAGTTTAACTGAGTGGAAGAAATAAATTACATGTTGGCTTTAATTTCCACCATATTACTAGTGTATCAACTCCATGTCAAATCGGAGATAGGGCTCCTTTCTATTAGTTCGGCGGGGCTATAGCCGCTCTCTGATAAGCCGAGATCTGGAGTTAGTTTCGCTGGAAACAGAACTTATTTCCGAGATTATTACCTCTTGTTAAGCTGCTGTATTGTGTGACAGTAATTACCCTGCAAATAGCGCAGCATTTTCTGCTCTCTCATTTATTCATTCTTTTCACTCA